GCTCACATTTGAACTCCCGACCAGTGACGCTAAGAATCGCAACGTGCTTTGGAACCGCTTCGCCAGGAACAAGCGAAGTCGCTACCGACGACCCAGGCTGCATGACATGAAATTTCGTTTCCGGATTGAGTTTTGGATTGATCAAGCATTCGTGCTCATGGCCCCAGATGACCAGGTCGAGGAATTCTGGGAGGAAATTTTCTGGAAGATAGCCAGTCTCGGTGTATGCGTGATGGTTCTGATGGACGCACATCAAGTTGAACCAATCGTTCTTTTGAATGGAAGGCTGATAGAACTTCACTTTACCGTCTCGGAATGTTCTGAAGAGCCTCTCATCCCGTACGTTACTCATACCGTACAAAGCTAACTTCGTGCGCCCTTTCTGTAGCAGCACTGGCTTGATATGGATGTTATCGGACTCCGGTGTTCTACCGTAGTAATTTAGCAGCCCTGACACCTGGAGTAAGTCCAAGGCCGCCAGATGACCCTCGCCTGACGGATCGTCGTGATTTCCATGGATTGAGAAAATCGGAATGGCAACGTTGATGTCCAAATCTTCGTAGTTGACGTGATTGAATGCCCCTTGAAAGTTCTCGCTCGCATCACTGAGCATCTCCAACTCGCAAGGCTTGTCACCCAAACAGTTCATTCGGATTGATCGCATGACTTGATACATGGACTTTCGGGACGGCTTGTTCTCATGGAAAAGATCGCCAGCAAGGAGTACCATGTCCACGTCTCGCTCTTTGGCCAGACACATCACCTCATGGAAGCTCTTCCAGCTGTCGTCACCCCTTATCGGATCTCGCTCATTGTACCCGACATGGTTGTCGGTTGATACAAGGATGCGGATTGTTTCCGCGCCTATGTGAATCAGCCTTTGAAGCAGGAATGGCTTTTTTATTAAGTCACTACTTACCACTGATGCCAGGCATATTCCAAACAGAGAGCTAATCACACATGTATGAAGAAATGGAGGAGTAAATGTGGACTTTTCAAAGTAACCAGAGAGAAACAAGTGCTTAAATGTGAACTACGGAGGACAGTTGCTTAGATGCCTGGAGAGTGCTGCCTGCAGACAACAAACACAGCCAACCTTTTCTGACGCGGATTCATGAAAGACATGCCATCTCAGTCTGATAAATGTAATCGGCCTAAGAGCACAAAATTTTGTCCACGGAATATTATCCTTGAACTTCTCATGCTGTTATTGCGGACGAAAAAGCAATTTGCCTCCAAGGCGCGACCGTGTCACGTGCCTCGGAACGCGAAAGTCTGCCCCCGCCATCGACCATCCGAATCTTGAATCTTGACTCATTCCTTGATTTCCCTCCCAACCCTCCATTTGAGTTCTATCTCAGGAATCGATTCTACCGCATTTCCTTCGTCGCTCCTCTCTGACCATCATCCCGGCTGATCCAGGATTCTCCGCTGGTTCAGTCGCCTACATTGTCCCTCCAACCTTACCAGACCTTTTTATGCAATCAGAGTTATCTGCAGTTCTCCAATCGAGTTCCCCAGCAGAATCGCCATCCAGAGACGCTTTCAGCCCCACCCAGCATGGACATGACCTTTGCGCAGAGCATCACCGGGTCTCCGGTCCTCTTCATGAGGGAGTCGGAGACCCTAAAACTGGCGTCGAGGACGACAGCCTCTCGTCCTTGAACGCGATAAGTTCCGATCCATTCCTTCACACATCGCCGGCTGTCAGCGGTGCCAGTCAGTACAGGAACGCCATTCCACAGTCTCCCAGCAAGCAAGCAGATTGTCGCTCTAAGAGGGCAAATCTCAATGCTCAGCCGCGTATATCTCTGGGAGCCTTACCCAATGGTACGTCATCATTCTCCTAGTGCAGTGATTAGCGATTAACGAACTAACCTTTGGAACTCGCAGAGGTCCTGACTCACATTCTCTCTCATCTGCCACCGCCATCGTTGTCATCCATCTCACTTGTGTCCCGCCGCTTTTATAGCTTGGTCACGACCCCTCATGCCTGGAGAATCGCATTCTCCCGGTACTTCCCGGGTCCGTACACTGTGGAAAATGGCGATCGTCTCTCTGCAGCGGACAGCTCGGATAACGTGGCTTCAAATAAGCGGTACTTCTCGAGACTGACTGCGCTAGCTTCGTGGAGAAGCGAATACATTCTGAGGACCCGCTTGTTTAGATCGCTTTCAAGGGGCAAGCCAGCTCAATTCGAGCCTTCCAAGAAACATGGTACGGTTCGAGCTGCCAATGTACGTAATGGCAGCGCTGTAGCCACCTACACTTCACAGCTTATGTACCCCGTGAGTCACCTCGGTGGATCTTTCGGTGTAGAAGATGCCAAGAAGGAGCCGCATTTTATTCATGGTGCGACGGAGCAGGGAATTGCATCTGCTAGCGATCCTTCGACGGTCAAAGTCGGAACATGGGGCCTATCCGATCATCAGATGTTCCGGCATTTTGCGGACTTGTTCCCTGGCGATACCGAATATGGCCTCGGATCCGGCGACCTTGTTGGGCAACCCAACTGTATGGACGTCAGTCAGCCATATGGCATGGTCTATGGTGAAGGTTGTCCGCAAGGCCGCAGTTACTTCATCTCGACTACAGAGCAGCGTGGTCGTTTCCTTGGGCTCGTGGAATCAACTTCCCAACCACAACAGGGCGTCCCGGCGCTCAACCCGGCGACAACATCAACCACTGCGGTCTGGATTGCCAAGTCCCCGCACATCCTTAAGATGACAGGAGGCTTGGTTGGGATGCTCTCTGGTTCATCTGTTGGTATCCTTACGGCCTATGCCCTCGGGCCTCATCCTACTTATGAGAAGCGGTTTGAGAGAGGCCAGGTCACGGCTAAATGGGCTATCTGCCCCGGAGTTCCCATCATTGGTATCGCTGTCGATGACAATTATTCCAAGAAACGCTCCTCTCGTGGCAGGATATGGGCAACAGTTCTCAATGCGCTCGGAGAGGTTTACTACCTAACAGAAATGCCTCGACAACCCGATGTTGCGGCAAAGTTGAGCGCAGAGGAAATTGATCAGCTTGCTTGGAAGACTGGTAGAAGTGTTCGATGGGAGCTCATAGAAGCGAGCAAGCGAACTGCACGACCAGACCCGTTCAACAGGGATCCTGTCGATGGAAGCTACAGCCCTAGATCGTCGTCGGACTCGATGAAGCTGGATGATCAGCAGATAGCTGCCGAAACCAAGGAGATTGAGCGTTTCCTGAAATTTAGACCCAAGCATTTCCGAAAGGTTTGTGAGGGCTGGGATATGAGACGCGATCTGAAAGTCGACTTTGCCGGTAATGACGGCCATGGCGCCGGTGAATCAATCCTGGTTATTGCTCGAGGCGCTGGTGAAGGTGAAAAAGCCTCGATTCGCAGGTTCACCAGAATCATGAAATCCGATCTGCCAGCGGCTTCTGGAACCCTTCCTCATCTCACTGGTGATGCTACATCTCGATCTCTTTTTGGTGGCCCTAGCCATACACCTATCCCATCCTCCGCTTCGGACGCGAGTAGTCTCCCTCCGTCCAGAACTTCCAGTTACCTCAGTGACACAGTCGTCTGCTCGGTTGCAAACACAGAATGGCGCATGTCGGACTTTGGCTTCGGCGACCGAAAGTCCGTTCGGATTACTACAAGCGCCTTGGATTCTTCCACTTATGCCGTCCTGACGGCTGACGAGGATCCACTACTGGGGATGTCTGGTGGCTCGGGCTTCTCTTCGGCCATGTCATCCCCGTTGCCGCACATGAAGCAGTCGTCCTCGAACCCTGAAGTTCCCGGAAGTCGAGGACGATACCTCGCTGTTGGTACCGCCACAGGCCTGGTGTTTGTATGGGATATACGGGCGCCCTCGGCCAAGAGTACCGATATTATCAACTCCGTGCCGCCGCTAAGGATCATTCAAACCGACTCACCACAAGTGTCATGTGTTGCCCTGACGTCGTTATATTTGGTGCACGGTGGTAACGACGGACTCGTACAAGCATGGGATCCCCTTGCGTCTACCACACGGCCTATTCGGACAATCAACTCACGATTTTCTTCCAGAGCTCGTCGCCGCTTAGTGCAAGCAGAAGCCTCCATGCATGGAGTTGGCAATAACTTCTTCGCATGTGGAGCCATATGCCTTGATCCGGATCCGACTGTGCTGAGGGGCATGGTCGCTCTGGGAACGCACCTGCGGTACTGGGCTTTTAGCTCCTCTGGCGCAGATCAATATAAGAGTAGTAAGCGTCGACTTCGCCGCGGCCACAGGGGTAGCAACATCACGGCTGAGGGTCAACGATTCAGCAGCAGTGGCCGTGGAGCCCTCAAGGAGTACATAGAGGACGAAAAGGTGGAAATGGAACGACAGAAAGTCGCCGAAGCGAAGGAAAGGGCGCATCTCAACAACCGGTTTGGTATTGATCTATTGGGGCCGGACGTCAGCGAGGAGCAACTTCTCGCCTACGCACAATTACTGAGCGAAGAAGCTTTCGCTAGTGAAGCCCTCAAGCGTGGTGAAGCAGTCGATAGCTCGGTAGTCAGCACCTCTCCAAGTGACACTATCGGTCGGAATGATAGTTCCGTCGCAGCAGACGACTATTCGTCCTCATCCTCTCCCTACCAGGACACGGTCGACGATGACCTTGCACCTGATATTGCTGAAGCTATCCGCCTGAGCTTGCTCGACGAAGGAGCTTCCCAAGAAAAGTCTCCTTTTTCCGTGAAGTACTCCAAGAAGTTTCAGTCGAGTTATGGTGACATCTCACCATGCGAATTAGCTGGTGCTGAAAGCAGCCGCCAGCAAGAGCTTGACGATCTGGAGCTTGCCATACAGTTGAGTCTTGCGGAGAGCCAGAGTGTCGGGCAAACAGAGAGGCAGCAAGACAAGGAATATCCTTCGCCGAGTACATTCTCACCGGCCTCTGACAAGGGTAAAGGCAAAGGAAGAGCTTTGTAGATGAATATTCTTTTTGGTTTTGTTTTCTGACTTGATTTCAGAGTTTGTTTTTTACCTTCAATCATTAGATCGTACTAATCCTTTACATTGACTACTTCATCTTGAGCATTTTCACATGCCCTATCGACAAAGCATAAGGCATACATACAGCTGCATCCAAATTCATACAATCAATATGACCCAATTCCGAACGTCGATCTGACCTTCTCTCTGTACTAGGATTTCCTAGCAAATATCGAATTTATGAAATTCCCATATAAGGTAACAAAGCGTCATAGCTACAAAAATAAAGCCAAGTCGCATAAGCAAACTATATCAGAGCTTGATCTATATGTTCTGCACAAGAATGCACTGTGTTTGAAAGCCCCAAGACGCGGCGAGGTTACAGGACCGCCTGGACGAAGACAAAAGTTCTCAAATATTTAGCGAGAATACAAACCAGTAGACAAGAATATTAACCGATTAAAGCATGAAGAACGCCATGAACGACGCAGCAGACAGCAGGCCAACGAAGGGCACGGAAATCGTGCCAGCGGCACCCTCCTTCTTGTCAGAGCCGGACGAAGACGAGCTGCCGCTCGAGCCGGAGCCGGAAGAGCCAGAAGTAGAGCCGGAGCTGTGAGCACCAGGGGTATTGGACTCGCCGCTAGCCAGGATATTCAGCTTGATGCCAGTGATCTCCTGGCCGTTGGCGTTGTAGATCTTCTGCTTGATGTCGGTGCTCTTGACCTCGACGAGTTTGCCGGTGTTGGCGTCGGAGAGGCCGTTGTCAATCATGTTCTGGACCTTGGAGGGTCTCTTGGGCAGATCGAAGGAGTCGGTGAAGGTGGAGTTGGTGATGAGGGAGGAGTCGCACTTGGGGGCTTGGCAGAGGTCTGGGTTGTGTTGGAGGCTTGGATGCGGCTCATGTCGAGCTTCTTGTACTGCGCCATGAGGTTGTCGTAGTCGACGAGGAGTGTGACGGTGCTGTTGTCGTTGATCTGGACGAGACCGTAGTCGTTCTCCTCCTGGGTGTATTCGTAGACGAGACCGCCAGAGAAGGACTGGGTCATTTGCTGGCCGTAGAGAGCCTCCACTTCGGTGAAGTAGCGGGGCTGGACTTCGTTGCAGCCGTATTCGGAGAAGAAGACGGGGATAGAGGCGTCGGCGAAGTCCTCGGTGAGGACATCGTAGCCGCTCTTGGTGTAGGACGAGTTGCCGCACCACGAGTAGGAATTGAGGCCGAAGAAGTCCGATTGGGAATTGGCGTCGTCCGCGCACATGAAGTAGTTGAGGGTGTCCATGAGGATGGGACGGATATCGGCAGCAGAGTACCCAACAGGAATGCTGCGGTTAAGGTTCTTTGCGATGTAATCCTTCATGTCACGCTGAATAGCCTACGAAAGTGTCAGTGGGCAGGCAATCATAAGTTGTTGAGATGGATGACATACCCGGACGTAAGTGGGAACATGCTTGACACTCTGCTCGTTGATGACCTCGTTTCCGGCGAAGAAGGCCAGGGTGTTGGGGAAGTTTTTGAACGCTTCGACGACACCAAAGACCTGCTGGAAATAGACATCGTTGTAGGTGCTTTCAGGGTCGGTTCTGTCAAGGTACCCGCCATAGAGAGGCGAGTTGACATCCAGGATCATGTAGATACCAGCTGCGTTGAAGATGGATGCGCACTCGTCGTGGTTGAGACTCGGCGACAAGTTGTAGATACGGATGGTGTTAACCTGTTTTCGCATAAGTAATGCAACGAATCTTGCTCGGGAAAACAGTGAATCATACGCCCAAACGCTGCATGAGAGCGGCATCCCGCAAGCATGCATCAGGATCGCTGAGAGGATCTTTGTCCTTGGTGAAGCCAGAGGAACCGCCAGGCTGGTAGCTGTTGGACAAGAGAACGGACGATCAACAATTCCGCCTTCAAAATGGTCGAGCACCGCGGAGAGTAAAATCTTACTCGACACCCAAGATCTGGAACCGAGCACCGGTTTCACTGTTCACAAAGTCCTTTCCCTTGACCTCAATAGGAACGACGGCGCTGGCAGTGGTCGCGAGAGCGCAGACCGCCGTAAAAAGGCGAACGTAAGTCTGCAAATCATTCTCAGTATACCAATCAAGATATCAAACAGCGCAAGGACGATATAACGAAACTATTGGAAATTTACGTGTGACGAACCGGAAGCATGTTTGAACGTGGAAGAATAGTTTTGGCCCGATGTGGATTAGAAGCTGAACGATTGGATGGACCCTTTCACAGGGAGTGCCGGAGCGAAAAGAGGGGCTTAGTTAAAGGGTTCAAGGGTCTTCAAAAGAATGACTGAAGTTAGGGAGGCGTGTAAACAGAACAGAAGGAAGCGATCGTGGCGATTAAAAGATATAACCAACGCGACAAGGAGAAAGAATTCGAGTACGAAGGAACAGAAGGGAAGAAGGGAGTAGTAAGGGGAAGAGGACTGAGCAAGATCTTCATTTTGGAAACAGATAGGGCCAAGAGCAATTATCAGCGCCCAGGAGTTACATTAGACGATTTAATAAGGCTAAAAGCTGGGCACAAATGGCACAATGAAGGACAGTGGAGCATCGTGAGAGTGAAACAGTGCGGCCAAGCGGCGCTAACAGCAGTCCGGCGCATCCACAACGCCAGCGTCTCACCTCAAGGGTCAGACTGGGTTACAGAGGCTGGGATTGGGTCTTTCCACGATCCTAAAGAGTCAGACATCAGACAAGTTCGTCTTGGATGTCCTTGGGGTCGTCCTGTCTAGAATCTGGCTGCCTTCAAATGAGTTACAACCTCAAAGAGAAAACAACAGCTGACTGAACTTTTACTTTTTCTTCAAAGACCGTCTTTTTCACCCTGCTAGAACTACTGATCCTTCTAAAATACATCCCAAAGCAGACCCATCGTAACGGAGGATTCGGAGACAGAGGAACTACCGGGGCTCAGCCACCCAGCGAAATGTGGTGTCTGGCCAGGTCCGGGGCAAGGAGACCGATGATAGGCGAAAGGGGAGAGATACACATAAATAGAACGAAAAGTCATGGCGCCGAGAAATACCAAGATGGTCCGCCGCATCGGCGGCCAAGACACAATGCAAATGTACAGGGGTGGAAGAAGAAAGGTCACAAGTAGTGGAGATTGTTGCGAGCGCCACGTGAGAGAGAGATTTGAAGAAAGGAGAATCAGATAGGTCAGTCTGGAGAAGTTACCAGGCCAAGGCCCAGCGTGGACCGGAAGCTCAAGAGACAAAGGCCAAGACTCCTATTGCGGGAAAAGGCGAAATGACGGAGACGCGGAGGGTAAAGTACTGTGGAGGGCTGCTTTCTTATGACATTTATTCGACGCCGTGGTTGTCAGCACTGCCACCCTCGCCAGTGAAAGAGCCCAATTTGAGACCGGCGTCCATGGCGACCATTTCGGCCAAGATCTCCAACACATCCTTAGGGACGGTCTTGTCATATATCGAGATCAGGTCCTTGGGCTGAGGGTAGACCTTGAGAGCCTTGTAGAAGCACAAAGCAGCTTCAATCTGGTCGGAGCCTATATGCGAAGGTGTGTGAGCTGGCTTTGTGTGTTGTTGATCCTGATGACTTGAGCGAGATGTTGATCATACCTTCGGCACACAGAGACTCTCCGCGAGCAACTTGACCCATGAAATAGGCCTCCTTCTCTTCCAAGTCCGTTGGGAAACCTTCGTCCTTGGCCTGCTGGACTGCCTTCTTGATGGCTTCCCGCTGCATAGCACCCTGGGCCTCTGCCTCCTCCTTGACAGCACGCGCAAGTCGACGGTTGTTTCTCTTCAGGCTTCTGCGGAACTCGGGATCGGTCTGTCTCTTGTGGTCAAAGAATATGGCGTAGGCTACAGGATGAGTCAACTTTGATCGGAATACATGCGATCGATGGATTTCCTCGGCACTTACCCAAGAGGCCGGTCAAGATGGTGCCGGCAGAAGCAGCCACCAAGGTTGAGGTCTTCATGTTGGTGCGGAGAGAGGAGGGTTTTAATTAAATCTAAAAGGGTAGAATACAATCGGAGAAGTAAAAAGAAAACAAAATAACCTCTCGTAGTTCCAACAACGGATGGCAACCTTTGACGACTGGAAGTTTTGGTGACGCCCGGCTTAAGCTTGTAACCGGGCAGCCGCGATAATTTTGAAGCGCGGGATCATTGTTGTTCCGCCTCGGGGTTTCTCTCCCGCTTGAGCGCCCAACGGGACAGCTACCTATGACAAAACAGCTCGTCATGCTGCAATGCTTGCGCTTTTCCTCAGCTCTTTCATAGCTTATCATCTAACCGATCTGACCGCGTGTTGAACGTCTCCATCCGAAAATATGGAAGGTCGCGGGTTGACCCTCCGAAGTAGAACGCGCCGTGCTCGTCCTCAAATCAGTGCTCCAAAGCCCATATCCGGACCGCTTCCACCTAACATCAAGGGTACCGATTCGGGTCAGGGAAACAATATCTCCAAGTCAGTGTCTCGCGAGCGAATCCCTACGAATGGCGCCACCTCAGATCTAGTAAAACGGAGATACTCAACGCGATTCAATCAAGCTCCAGAATTCGATGCCAGCGCCCCCCTGTCCCTGGTCTCCCTGCGGCAGCAAGCAACTATGGCGGATTGGGTCCTCCGGAAGCCAGCAAAAAGCCGTCGTCCGGCTCCTCCGGGCCGCCGCAAGTTGATTTGAATGCATTGAGGGATCCAAGTCTGCCGGTAGACAGATGTGAGTCGCTGTGAAGCTTAGCTACCGTTCTGGACAGATCTCATGTAGGCTAATCCGGCATGCCAACTTGTAGATGTAGCAAACCTGCTCGCCAATGCTACGGAAGAAGAAATCGAAGAGTACCAAAACAATCTACGGAAAGTGAGAAACAGAACGTCCACCGACCTCCAGCAGAATGTGTACCAGAATCGCACCCAGTTCATCAAGATCAGTAAGGAGGCGGAGAAGCTCAAGGGCGAGATGCGGACGCTACGCACTCTGATGGCGGAACTCACCACCGCTCTGGGCCAGACAGCTATTGGAAATGCCCCCAATCCTATGTCACCGACGGCGGATGACTGGGTACCGAAGCGCAATGCGAATCGCAGTTCAGTAGCCAATCTCGAAAGCATGTGGAACGTCCAGCTTCAAACACTATGGAAGACGGTGGAAGGATCGCAGAAGTTCTTGCCTGTAGCTCCAGGCCGGCATATTGTGATGGAGACAGGGCAGTGGGTCGAGCTGGACTCGGCCACGTGGAAGCCTAGGCGCCCTGTTCACATCGTGCTTCTGAACGACCATCTACTGGTGGCTGCGAAAAAGCGAAAGCGGGTCGACCAAAGCAACCCCAACCATCGAGGGCCGGTTCCGACGAAACTTGTTGCGGAGGAGTGTTGGCCGCTACAAGATGTTGACATGATTGACCTCGGGCCAATATGGGCACTGGGGCAGCCCGCGAAGAAGCCGAAGAGCGGGGCATCGCAAACGCAATCAATGTCCGAGTAGGCTCAAAGACTTTCACATATCGCCACGACAAGCGGGATAGTTCCGACAAGAGCGAGCTTCTTGCGACTTTTCGAAAAGCGGTGGAGGACCTTCGACGAACACTGCGGTCTGAGACAGAAACGGCGACTAAGCCCACCGATGGCTTTGGCTATGCAGGTGTCAGACATTCCGTTTCCCAAAAGTCAGATCTCAATGCTTCAGACGCTTCCCGCGACAAGCCCGAAGTTCGCATTGATGTTGATGGAAAGCAGCAGAATATTCGATGGGTGGATGGACAAGTGGATGACCTCGACATCGATATCGCCCTCCAGCGTTTCGAAGAAGCAGTTTCTGGCATTGAGCGGCTCAGAAAATTAGCCAGGGGCTTGAAGGGGAACTCGGTTGCGCAGCAAATCATCAACAGCAAGGTCGACGAACGCGCGGCAAAGCTGGCCAGTGTCTTATCACGAGCATTAGCTGGCACTCACTCGTTCTTGAATGCCACCAAGACGAACGTTACCTGGCTCACTCGTCTAGGCTTTGAGGATCAGGCTCGGGAGGCCTACTTGAAAGCCCGATCCGATGTGATATCCAAAAGGGTCCGGTAAGTCTTATCGCCAGGGCCCCAATTTTGAATGTATGACTAATTTGAGACGTATCTAGGGCATGTGTCTTCGAGGGCGATCTCCCTCTCTATATATTCCAGGTTTCCTATGTCTATTTCACCTTGATCAAAAACACAATCAACATCTACCAGCAATGCTTCCCGGCTGTTATGACAAGTGCGTGCATCAAGTGGGCCAAACACCACTTGGACGGATTCAATGCCCTTCTCACCCGGCAGCTCAGCAGCGTACAGCGAGGCACGACTGTCTGGCAGAAATGCATCGATATCGTACATGAGCATGCCGACTCTCTGACCGAAGTCGGTGTAGACTTCGCCGACCTTGTTGCCAAGGGTTTGGATCTGCATGATGATGGTGGCGAGAAGCCACAAATGACTCGGTCGGAGTCTCTCATTTCGGGGCTGGCGGATGCTGCACGGGACCATGCTTTTTGATAAGAATATCAGGAGGTCATGCTATTAGCGATTTTTTTCTGCGAGCTGCGCTCTGGGTAATTTCATTTTAAATTTCAATCAGACTCAAATATGAGTAACAATTCATGTCTGCAAATCAAGATTCTCAAATCATTCCGCAAATCCAGGAAACCTCTGAAAGAAACATCTATCCATCCCCCATTACCTTTTGATTCCTGCAATACCGATCAAGAAGCGGGTTCACCGATATTTTCTGGTGCTTTGATCAGTATTATGGAGCGAAAAAGGGCCAATATACGACACTGGATTCCCGGCTATGATTTCATACTTGTGGCCTGATTGATGAGCATTAAGTCCTCGTAGCTGAAGATTCTAGACCGTTCAAGGTCGCCCCGCTCGTTGTATCTAGCTTGTGATCGGGGCTGTCGATCCATTTAGAATTGTCTGGGGAATGGGGATAGACTTCCTTTGGTCCGAGTCAAGTACGTACATAATGTGGTGAGAGGTTGAAGGTGCTATTTGTACCGGTGCTTTTGCAGACAGAGCACCTGAGTTAGGATTTCGCTAGATGTAGAGAGCTAATGTACATGTGAGGTATGCTATATAGAATATGTCTATGTCTATCACCAACCAATGTTTATTATATCGTGTACCATTCATAGATATTCCCGTCATGGCGCCCATTCTTAGCGGAAGATTTTTTCTGCCGTACTGGCTTGGCTGCTTTATCGAACGCCGAAGGAGGAGACCATGCCAGATCCCAAATCTCGGGATCACTCATGACACTGCCCCGTTGTAAAACGCCAAACCGGAAGTCAAGTGGCTCGCCTCCGTCGCCCGGATCGGACGGGAGACGCATATAGTACCGGACGCTGTCAGGGATTTCCTCCTTAACGTGGCTAATCATGATGAGAGCCTGGTCCTCGGATAGACCTCGGTGCCGTACTTCACTAGGCTTGACGTTGGAGCCCTTGAGCCACGTAGCCTCTGTGCTTGCTGTGCGCCTCGTGATGGAGGTTTTGAGATTGCCGCGCACCTCACCTGCCTCGAGGAAGTGGATACACTTGTCTCTGAGGGACGCAGACATGTTGGAGAAAGGTTCGTCAAGGATAATGATATCTGGCTTGTGGATCAATGCACGAATGAAGAGTACGAGACGTTGCTGTGCAGTGCTGAGTTCTCCGAACCGTATAGAGTCGGCATACTCGACATCGTAGTCTGTCGGCACGAAATCGCGATTTTTGGTAGTTTTGAGTTGTCCGATATTGGGGAATAAGTCCATCGCGCGGTAATTCACACCAGGTGGTTTCTGTTGAGTTGTGACGGCTGCATCTGGGTCTAATTCGGCTTTGAAGAACCTCAGCGCTGCACTCACGTCCAGGTCTCGTTCGTGATCCAAAGTCGGCTTGGCAAGGAATGTTTCGGCAAAGGCAGACTCGATGGCCTGGCGAATGCTAAGTTGACGGGGAAAGAAAGCATGAATTTCGGGGGACGAGTGACCAAGGCGCGATTGAAGCTCAAAGATCGAAATGCCCGGCTTGCCCGCCTCGGGCAAACGCGAACGCCCAAAGACCTTGATCGGCAAAGCGTAGGTTTGTGGATGGTCCGATGTAATCAAGGATAGTAATGTGGTCTTCCCTGAACCATTGGCCCCAAGTACCACCCAACGCTGGCCGCGACGAACGGTCCAATGCAGTCCCTCCTTTTTCTGGTCGCTGACCGTTTGCTCCCATCCGCCAAGGACGACCTTGTCGCCGTATTGCACACGAACACCTTCCATCTCGATCAGCGGCTCTCCCCCATGAGTTGTCACTGCAGTGCTTTGACCCACGCTAGTTTCAATAAGATTGAGATCCCAGAGCAGTTGTCGATCCAGAAAGCCCGACTCCATATCCTTTCGAGCGTTCTGCAGTATTTTTTGTTCCTCTTCACTGAGTGTTGGGGACCTCCTGCCCTTCTTTGTAAGATGCTTCCAGACGCGCATGACTTTGTCCGCTTCCGACCTTGTGCCCTGGAACAAGATCTGGTTGGAATTCCCGAGAAGAAGAATGTGAGTGATCCAATCCGGAAGATTGTCCTGCGGCCTCAAGGCGAGGATCAACCTTGGCGAGGCCTTCACTGCTAGGCGTTCGAGAAGACCGGAAATACTCCGAACTGTAGCTGGATCGAGGCCCACTACGGGGATGTCAACACCCTTCTCATATGTTCACTTGTTATGGACAGTGACTTACTGAAAGGTTCATCAAGCAGTAACAGCTCTGGCTCACTGAGGAGGGCCTTTGCGATCCGCGCACGCCTTGTTTGGCCATTGCTCAGATTGGCAACAGGCATGTCGAGCAGCTCGCCTAAGCGCAAGTCGGTGATAACCTGCGTCAACAACTCCTCATTTCGGACCGTTCCACCCTCCTCTCCCTCTAGGGGGTTCAGAGAGGTTTGGCCCCTAAGATACTGGCGGACAGTCCAGTCGGTTTCTTCCCGAAGACTCTCATACCGAGCACTGAGGTACGCGCCCCGAGTGCCGCCGATTGCCTCTGAACCCTCCCCGATGAATCCAATGTATTGAATTGCATTTCCCACAAACCGTAACCGAGGATCTTTGGCTGCGATCTCGTCCGTGAGAAGGAAAGGATAACTGCGAGCGGTGGGCGGAAGACAGACGTACTGGCCGCGGAGGAGGTCAAGCAGCTGGGTTCTTCCCAACGAGCCGATCACAGCCCAATGTTGTAGGCTTTCCTTGCCCTCGGTGGGAGAAGGAGTCGGCTTCGAAGGTAGGACAAAATTTAAGTTTTGGAAGAGAGGGCGGTTATGGCCTTTGGCCGCATCGTCGGGAGTAGGGTAGTTTTCGTAGAAAGTTCCATCTTGGATGCGAATTAGCGGCGGTGCCAAGGAGGAGCCATGACGAGCAATGCGGATAAAACTCGACGGTCTGAAGTGGCAGGAGCGCGATATTGATCGTCTGAGCAGCATATTCTTGAAATTGTTGTCGCTCCCTCATGGAGCCGTCGCATACGGCTTGAGTGACGATGACTGCTGATCTCCGAGTTCGCTGGTGGTCGGCCTTAAGTCCGAGGCTGCAATCCCCGAGCCTGGCCACGTGATCATTTTCAAGTATGAGAAAGCAATGCAATCAACAAACAAATCAAGAAGAATTCGAGTGCGCAATCGGAGGCAACTTGATAGCACTATGGCAATGGGAAAGATTGGACGCCTACACCTTACACATGCATCCGAAATAATGGCAGAATAGGACGACTTTCCTCGACTGCGAGTGTGACTATACAGTACTGGACCATTCCGGTCTTGCAGATACCGAGGCCCAAATGATATACCTACCTTCAGTTACCACAAACTTTCTAGCTCAGCATTCCTTGTCAACTTGCTGCAATGTACAATTTGCACTGTTTGAGATGCCTTTATCCATTTCAGCCCCGTTCGACCTACCCTGTCTCTCTGTCGCCGGATAACGACCGAACTCCGATAAGCGTCGGCTAAGGTCAAGTCCCCTCACTCGATATTCAATGCACGTACGGACGTACGGAGTGGGGGACTGAGAAAGCGATCTTCGGAATACCTGAATGTCCCTCACCAGGTCATACTTTCTTGAAGTTCCCCTCTCTTGATCTCCTGAATCGTGACCTTTATCATACCCCCTCTACAAGAGACGTAAGATAACATGACTGTCGACCACTCCACCACTAATGGCCGGTATGTCGAGTGAAGGTCCGCCCCTCAACTTGCTATAGATCACTGTCTTCGTCACTATTTCCATAGGTCGACTCTGATTTTTGTTCATGCAGTTCAGAGTCAGAAGAAATCTCTCCATTAGATTCTATTCCCTCACTCCCCTTATTTCTGGAGGCACAGAAAGTCTCGCAGCACAATGCGGGGAAAGTTGCGGTGATAGATGCGGCCAAGGGGGAGCAATTCACTTACAAGCAGCTCTTAGTGGATACGGCAGCGTTGAAAAAGATCATTCTTGAGGAATTGCGGCTGAAAGATTTGGAAGAAAGACGCATTGCCTTCCTGGTCCCGAATGGATACGACTATGCTGTTACCCAGTGGGCCATCTGGGCAGCTGGCGGCGTCTGTGTGCCCCTCTGTACGTTTTGTAACCGTTGACTGTCGTAAGTCTACTAATATCAAGTGCCAATCAAAGGTACAACTCACCCGGTCAAGGAACTACTCTACACAATAGACGACTCGGACCCATCCTTGGTCATTCTGCACCCTGCGTTCGACAAGTTCAAGGAGCCGCTCCGTGGGTCAATAACAAAGGATGTGCCATTCATGGCTCTTCGGCCTTTCCATGCGAAAAAAGATATCTCGTCGAATTCCCTGCCTACGTTCAGGCCTGCCGCCTCCCTGGATCGAAGGGCGCTGATGATTTACACATCTGGTACAACGTCAAAACCCAAAGGCTGCGTCACAACGCACAAGAACATCACCTTCCAAGCGAGATGTCTCGTTGAAGCGTGGAAGTACAGCCCGTCTGACCACCTCATCCATGTCCTACCGCTTCATCACGTCCATGGGATCATCAACGGCTTAACGGCTAGTTTCCTCAGCGGAGCTACGGTCGAGATGCATGCCAAATTCGACCCGCAAGTCATATGGAACCGGTGGCAGGAACAAGGCTCCTGTACGATGTTCATGGCGGTTCCAACGATATACTCCCGATTGATCGATTACTTCGAGGCCAACATACGCGGCACAGACAAGGAAGCCGCTGCCCGAAGTGGCGCCAACGCCTTAAGGCTCGTCGTAAGCGGTTCCGCAGCTCTCCCTACCCCTATCAAGACCAAGTTCGCCGCAATCACAGGCCAGATCCTGCTGGAGCGATACGGCATGACAGAGATCGGCATGGCGCTCAGTTGCGGGCTGGATGTCGACAAGCGGATAGACGGCAGCGTCGGCTGGCCTCTGCCTGGCGTACAGGTGCGGCTGGTCGACAAGGAAACGGGCGCGACCATTGAGACTGCGAACGAGGACGGCATGATCGAGATCAAAGGGGACAACGTCTTCCTCGAATACTGGCGACAGCCCGACGCAACAGCCAGGGAGTTCACTGCAGACGGATGGTTCAAGACCGGGGATGTCGCACGGCGCGATGATGCGGGCGCATACTACATCCAAGGCCGGGCGTCGGTCGACCTGATCAAGTCCGGCGGGTACAAGATCTCGGCTCTAGAAGTGGAACGGAAGATGCTCGGCTTGGATGCCATTGAAGAAGTTGCGGTTGTGGGTCTTGCGGACGAGGAATGGGGCCAGCGCGTCGCTGCTGTTGTCAAGCAACGGCCTAGGGTGAGATATTTGCCTGTTTCGAGCACCGTCTCTCGCAAAGCATGAACTGACGGAGCTGCAGACCGAGCCGCTGGAACTTCAGAGCCTTCGTGCGCAACTTAAGCAAGAGATGGCCCCTTACAAGATTCCGACAGTGCTGAAGGTTGTGGACAGTATTGAGCGCAATGCGATGGGTAAGGTGAACAAGAAGATAATCGTACAGGAATACTGGCCCGATAAGGCTTGATCTGGAATTGCCACTGGACTGCACCATGAAGCCTAAGCATCATGAGTCACAACCTTCTATATAAATGATCCTTGACAGAAAACTGGAAGACTTATTAGTGTCTTCATTGGTCTACACACGCTATACTCTCTCATGTACCATCTGCAAAAGAGAGTCTTATGCGGGTGAAATGCCATAATCTCAACGACCGCACGCCTCTAATAAATTATGGAGTACTATACATTGTAAATCACACAAGAGAACCAGGAAGGATTGTGTAGTGAATACAAATGTTACAAAGACCAGGCAACTGAATCAGATCAAGGCTTGACAACACTCAAGAAAGGAAGGGTCAGGTCATTGAAGAAAGTAACAGCTCCGTCCGAAGTGGCAGTGGTAACATTGCCCTCGGAAAGGCCACAGACCGACGCAAAGGAACCGTACTGCTCCCTCTTCTTGGCCACCAGCGTGGTATACTGGTCGAGCGGGCAGCTGCTTCCAGGTCCAGAGCGGCAAGACGGGACGGCTATGAACGTTAGCCTCATTGCTGTAATATGGCAAGGTGGCAGATGCTACGGGGCAAACTTACGATAGACAGCGTCATTCAGGCGGATACGGACATTAACCGAGGTCTTGCCGTGAGTTGTGCAGTTGAGACGCTCGAATGCGATGGTCCCCCGCATAGGGTTTACGCGAGTGCTGACGTAGATCTACAGACAACCGTTAGAGCTGAGTTGGATAAGGGAAAAGCTAGCATACCCTTTTCTTATCCATTTTATCAGCGGCAAGGGGTTCCTGCTCGTCGAAGACGCCTAGGAGGGAGGCGAGCTCGTTGATCTGGTTGTCGTGCGTGAAGGCGACGATGAGAGGAGGGAGCTTGCTCGTGCCTGTGGTCGTGTTTGCTGTCGCCGCTGGGCCGTCCTCGAGTAGGTTGACGATGCCCTGGAGGACAGGGAGCATAACGGTCATGTTCTTTCCAGCGCCGGGACCTGAGATTGAGAAAAGATTCAGCGGCTTTGGTTTCCCCCTCCGTCTCCTTGTACTATTCGTATAGGGATCACTCACCCGTGCCGTAGTAGTAGCGAAGATCCTGTCGGTATTCGTACTGAAGGATTTCATTAGGAGTGAAGACATCGCACCAGGGGCTCCTGCTGCCGGTAATTTGGGTTTCGAAACCACACAGGTACGGGAAAATCGAGACTTGGTCATCGGTTAGAGTGAGGTTACCAGAGATCTTCGTGTTGAGTCTTTTGGTGATGGGTGGCAGATAGATCTTGTCCCAGGTCGAGGCATAGGTGCCTCCGCTGGTGTCCTTGAAGCTAGGACACATGTCGGATGTCGCAAGAGAGTTGCCGGTGGCTGCTGCAACGTCCGGATTAACGACATAGATGTCGCCGTAGGTGGAATTGGGTCCGAGGTAGCCACGAGCAAAGAGCCTATCAAATATTAGGAGAGTCTAGTTTTGCAGATAGAAGTTCTCTGGAATACCTAGCAGAGTCAATAGTGCGTTTATAGTCGTTCGCCCACAGCAAAAATGGCGTATTGTCCTCGTAGAATGAAGGGTACCGAAACCGAAGATCTACTCCAAGATTGTACCTATCAGTGTATCAGCATCGTTCTTCAAAAGTGCTGGCCGACAGAAAATACTCACAGTTCCTTGTACCCAGTGACGGAGACTTGCGCTATCTGCTGATCGGGGTATCTCAGCACCGGAGCCCAGTCAGAGACAAAGCTCAATGACCCAGAGGCTTTGAATTTCGCAGATTGGAACTATAACTCAGCAATTGAACAATGTTACGATGCCGAGGAAACATACAGCATCGTAAAGCGCTTGCCACTGTGCATAGGCGCCGGGATCAGGATATCTGCTGCCATGGCGGACAACGTAGATCGCCTGATCAACGGAGCATTGATCTGGAACGTCAGACGAGATCTTGTTGATATTAGGCCCTGTTCAGATAAGAAGATCAGTATAGGAAATAATATCGTTTCAGGGAAAGAACATACCAGCGAACCACGGAGAGTTAGCTCCCAGGTGTTCAAGAGGCTCCAAAGCATGAACTGAGGTTGCATAACCCAGGCTGAGAAGCCAAAGAGCCTGAAGTGTCGGTCTCATTCTCCAATTTTGTGAGTTTGACACTCAATTGAGACAATGTAAAGAAGAGAAGATATCTGGCTGTGAGACATTTCAACTGCCTCCATGGTGCGACTCGTGGTATTTAAGATATCCAACAACATCCTCCCCGAAAACAAGCGTCGAAGACGGACAAATTCGAGCCATCGCGAGGCAAGTGTCTCCACCAGTTCTTTGTAACCGAAGGTGATGTCTCGGTTGTCTCGGTTGATTGTTCGACGGTGGTGAGAGGAGGAAGTGCCTAGACTGCGGAGTGTTGACTCGGCCAGGCCGTTCACCTACAGCAGATCCGCCACGTGCGTCGAGTGGCCGTTGAGCCAACCAACGCACTAGACAATGCATTTAATCTATCTTCTTGGAGCATTAAATTAACTAATTTCGCGTTTCTAGCACCTAAGAGGTTGCAGATACCCAAGATAACGCACTGGATGCTTGCCATGGTAATCGACCAAGATGAGCCGAACCGTACACCAACTCCGAGCACGAAGTGAATGCCGTTACATTTAATAAGCAGTCGTCAAGTCTGAAAAATCCACCGAGAGTCTCTGTCGCCCTGGAAATCGGCTCCTGCATCCCCAATATCTCCGATAAATGCAGTTATGCCCTTTGCCTCTCTTTGCTGAGCCTTCCCGATGTTCTCCCGGTTGAGCACAGCCCACAAGACACTAACCACAACGATATTCGCAAGGAGGTACCCTAATGCAAATCCATGGCCAACATAGTAGCGCGGACTGCTCTCAGTCCGATAGAGTTGCGTGCCCATCACAGCTCCCAAGTTCCCGATCGAGATCTGCATCGCGTTGGCTATAGCGCGTTTGGTTTGCCCGGAGACGTTGTTGGCTGGCCAAGACAGCACGATGGCCACCGAGGGGTAGATGCCGCCAGCGGCGAAGAAGACCCCAGCATAGGATACGGACGCTCTCTTTGAAGTGAGAAGAAGGATGTATCCGATGCAGGCGAACGTGGTCGAGCCAATGATGAACGGTGCGCGGCGCCGAGTGCGTTCAGAGAGGATTGCGACGATGATTGTCAGAATGAATCCCAAGGCATAAGGAGGAACAGTCAGAAGCTGAGCCTTGGCAGCCGAATAACCCAGTTCCTTGATAATCGTAGGCTACATTCATAGTCAGATAACGACATAGTCTATGGTGTCGACGCATCCTACCATAAACAGCGATAATGTGTACAAGGGCAGAGACATCGTGTGAAAGCAGAGCCCGTACAGCCAAACCTTAACATCCTTGAACGCATCAAACACTGCCGTCCAACTGAACTGTTCGTCCCGAGTAGCATCATTGTCGTTCTTCAGGCGGAATTGGATGAACGCGCGCTCCTTGTCTGACAAGAATTCTGCAGTTGCAGGGTAATTGTAGACCCAGAAATAAGCGACAATGGACATGACAACAGTTGCCAGTCCTTCCTTCGAGCTAGTCAGCTCAAATAATGGTTTAAGAACGCTTGGTGTCGCGCCGTACCAAGATAAAGATCCATCTCCAGCCATTGTAACCACCAACACCACGCATATGCGCAATACCCTGCAGATGGTCAACGGGATGTCAATTTTCCTCTGATTGCATCGTACCAACCCAAGCAAGAACGCCTCCAAAGGCACCAGCGAGGGATGCAGCGCTGAAGAAGAGGGCCACCCGATAGTGCTGCTCATTTCGCTTATACCACATAGAAAGATAGAAGACGACGCCCGGAAATAGTCCACTTTCAGCAATCCCCAGGGCTACAGACGTCGAAGCGCCACGCCTCAACGGACTACAAGGCCCCTTGAGACATGGGCCCCTTTCGAGTCAGCACTTCTTTTGAACATATGCAATGTTTATCAATTTACCTGTCCGTGACGTCAGGTATCCAGCGTAATTCTGGACAACTCCGAGAAGCGTGGCAACAATTCCCCACAGCAATGTGAGTGTTGGGAGCCATATCCGAGGTGTAGTCCTCTTGAGCACGATATTGGACGGGATCTCGAAAGCGACGTAACCAATGAAGTACAGTGTGAGGCCCGTAAGGTACATGTTGCCCGCTACACACTGTCATCAGCATCGAATCCTGCAAATAGTCGCAAGACCACCCACTCATTCCAATATCCGTAGCCATACCCTCCAAGCGAGCGTTGCCAACTAGAAGCAGTAAGTAAGCATTTGATAGTGATTTCTGACTTGAATCAATAGATTCAATAATCTACGTACCATTGCTCCTGTCTAAGAAGGACAGAAGATATAGTATCGTCAATGGTGGAAGCAGTCGGTAATCCAGCTTACGCAGCAACGCTTTTTCATTGATATCAAATTGACCTCCTTCCAGGCTGCTCTGGGAAAGCGAACTTGGGTTCACCGGGTGCGATGGAAGCTTTGCACTTATCTTTTCCTTAACTAGAGCCATAGTTTCGAGCAGCTCTACCTGGTCGGGTATTGCTCGACAATGAGACAGTGGATGGAGGTTTCCGCTAGAGCGGTATCGCCCGGGGCAGGCAATAGATGGCTATTAAGAAGGATTTGAGAGTGCATCCAAGCACAGCACACCATCGTTGTCGTAATTGCGCGATGGGGACAATGACGGACGTGGACTGGGGAAAGACAATCTCGCATAGCCAAAGACAAGAAAAAATAGTCCATCGAATGTCCGACCAATAATCCCGATCGACTGAGACCCCAATGTCAATAAGACATTCTTGTGAAGATATCTGATAGCCATTCTTGATGAGCAATCGGAGCTCCGCGATGACGATATCGCGGAGGTGGAGTGCATATTTGGAGGTCGAAAGCATAAAGCAAGGACTATCGTCGAACCGGAGGAAAGCAGGGAAAGCGTCAACAGTCTTTGTTTCTGCTTTAGACTAGATCTGCGCGTGGGCTTCACAGCCAAGCCAGCTGCTTCTGGCTTCCTCCCTATCACGCCATCCGCACAGGTAATGGAATCATTATCAGCCATTGTCTAGAAGCGTTGCAGCACTAGAGCCAGCGATATTCTGGGTTATACATAAGATATCCCTATCTCCATCGTCGTCTAGATAGCTACGAGTCAGTATGAGATAAAAACCGGCTTTCAGAGATTCGTCGTTGGCTCGGAGCCATGGCGCAGAGAACCAGGCCTAAAGGAAGTTGGGAATGGGACGCTGCTGCTGCCAATGTCCACATCAGGGATTTTTCAAGATTGCTTCGAGGATTCGATCGCAGAAACGAAAGGATATGTTGTTCTGGTCCTCATTTTTCGCCAATTCCGTACCTCCTCGAAGGAACCGATTTGGGATCCTGATTCTTGAAGATCTATTGTTTATAGTGTAAATAGACAGGAGTGAAAGGTCAAAGGAGGATAGTTGAAGTAGAAGTTAAGCTCTGATTGAAAATGATGCAGAATGATTGAGATGCATCGATGAAATGGGTATCTCTGTATGATAGTTATGCAATGTCCTGTCCCACCCAGAAACCTTGACCGACCAACGCCCGTTTGAAAATTCCCAACCATCCAAGAGAAATCCAATCCAAACCATAATCCAACCCAAGACCGTCCCAAAAACACGCCCAAGCAAAAAAGAAAAGATGAAAAGGAAAATAAAAAGGTAAGATAAACGATGAAAGAAAAGAAAATGAAAAGAGAAAGAGAAAAGAAAATGAAAACACACGCAACACACATAAACCACACACCACACATAAAACACACGAAACACAGAATACACCCCAAACATACAACACATACATCACACGTAACGGGATCATGAGGTTCATAAGAGAGATTCATCTAATCTATAAGGTGAGTATATCTAGTATTCCTCGCGGGAGCCTACGTGTATAAACACTGCATAACTTTTCTGAGACATGACATGAGGTGCTGGAAGAACATCGGGAAACAAAACGAAGAGAGAATCAATGGAATGCTTGACCACACGAGTCATCAGCGTCCCTCCTTCCCTATATAGAACATGAGATGACCTATGGTGCCAGGATCAACGCAAGCAGAGCCATGCGGCAGTAAAGGCCATATCTCATCTGCGGATATAAGTTAGCACAACTCGACCCAATGAGAGACGAAAAAGAAAGGCAACTAACCTGTCTGAAATAAGCCGCCCGCTGGTCGAAATCAACCTCCTCGGCGATCTCTGCATTCCTGGGCAGGGGGTGCATCACGACCATGTGGCTCTTGGCGTGCTTCATGAGAGCGTTGTCAATGATGAAGCTGTTCTTAAGACGCTCGTACTGCTCGAGATCAGCGAACCGCTCCTTCTGCACACGAGTGCAGTACAGGACATCGGAGCGTGCAACAATCTCTGGTGTCAGCTCCTCAGACTCGAGCACCAGCTGTCCGGATGCGACGACTGTCTGACGGACTTCCTCGGGAAGAGAAAGATCCTTGGGCGCAACGAGCTGGATGCGCACGTGATAGAACTGGAGCAGCTTGATGAGAGAGTGGATGGTACGTCCGTATCTCAGGTCACCGGTGAAGGTGATTGTCAAGCCAGTGACAGTTCCAAGCTCTTCCCGAATGGTGAAGAGATCGAGGAATGCCTGAGTGGGGTGCTCGACGCTGCCATTTCCGCCGTTGATGACCGGCACTGGCGAGAATTTAGCAGCGGTCTCAGCGCTGCTGGGGTCGGGATGACGGAGAACAACGGCATCTCCGTAGCAACCCAGGGTGCGGACGGTATCCTGCAAAGTCTCACCCTTCTTCGTAGAAGAGTGCTCGGTGGAGATGGCGATAGTCCGTCCGCCGAGACGCTGCATAGCAGCGTCAAAGGATGCCGATGTGCGGGTCGAAGGTTCATAGAAGAGAGTGGTCAGAACACGACCCTTCAGAATGTCAAGAACACCCTGGCGCTGAACACCGAGACGCATCTCCTGAGCCACCGTGAAGAGCAGGTGCAGGTCCGCACGGGTGAACTGGTTGACAGAGAGAACATGCTTCTGTCTGAAGGTCGACCGCGACAGCAAATCGCGCAGGGAGGAAGTCTGTACAGGGGTATACAGAGGAGGACCGAGCTCATTCGCGGCCGACTCAGCGGGTCTTGGCTTGAAAGAGCGACCTGGAGTTCCAGAAATCGACAGTCTTCTGTCAAGAGAACTCTCTGGGCGAGCCTGGACCATGGGAGACATAGCCTTGACAGACGGAGACGCAGGCACAATACGATGGCCAGACATATCTGTTCCCTTGGGAGCATCTTGAGTCACTTCACCATCGAGGCAAGAGGTCTTGCCCTGGAAGGTAACCCGTTGAACAGCACCCCGCAAGCTCTTGCCATTGAAGGGAGACCAGCACGGGCTCTGGAAGAGGTATGGTCGGTCAACTTCGATCTCAACAGAACTGTCGGCTTGGTCGTGAAGCTCGAAGACCTTCTTGGGGTTCTCGTAAAGGCGCGAAACAATATCCTCAACGGTAAGGCGACCCTCTGACACAGCGGTGAAGAGCAATGGCAACGACTCGGCAATACCAGAAACGGGAGAGGCCTGCTTACCAGCAAGCTGGAAGGGGATACTGCCGATGGAGAAAACATCAATGGTGCTCATGTGCTCCCACAGGGCCTTCTGGTCCTCAGCAGACGGCAAGAAGTTGCAGTCGGGGAAATCTTCTCTAGAGAGGAAGAGACAGAAGATCGAGACGTCGCAGGTGACCTTCAGGCCCTTCTCCTTGCTGAGAGCAATGAGATTGATATCCTCCTTTGAGGTGACGCTCATGACGTGAATGTTGCGGTTGTGGAGGCTCGCCAGCAACAAGATTGACGCGAGATCGGTAGACTTGGCGTCGGTGATCATGGGCTTGTTCGAGGGCCACACCGAGAAGTGGTTTGTCACAGCAGTGACCTTGCTGATGTTCCCAGACAGATGGTTGAAAGGAATGAACAGAGATCCCACCTCTCCGGTGACTTGGCCGACCTGCTCGGAGTTGGTAGAAGTCGCCACAACGGAGAAGTTGAAGTCACAGTAGGGAGCCTTCTGAGCATTCTGCTGGGCAACTCTGAGGGCGCGAGCATCCGTGACAGAAGCGTCGACACCCACGGGCATGACGCGAATCATGCTGAAACCAGCAGCAATCGAAGCCTTGGTGACAAGCTCAAAGTCATTGGAACCGGGAGTGACCAGACCAGGGACAAAGGCGGTTATGTTGATCAAGCCAGGCAAGATGATGGTGCGATGGCTGGTCTGATAATCAATGGTCTGCACGTTCAGGGCGTAGTGGCGGGCGATGGCTTCGATCAAGATCTTGGCGTTCTTCACGTTGGTGACCAGAGGAGTCTGGTAGTCGACGGCCATACGACGAGTCCGGTAACCTTTACTCATGTAGTTCGCAGGACGTCTGAAGCGGTTGTTGGATGGCAAGTTGATATAAAGGTCAATGAGGTTGTTCGCCAAGTGCTGAGTAAGGGAGTACTCGGACTTCAGTTCGTCTTCCTGGCCAGGAAGAACCTCCAGATACTTGACAGGCACACCATTCTCCTTCAGGAAGTCGGCAGTACCAGCGGTAGCAAAGAGATTGAATCCCAACTGGTGCAACTTCTTGATAGATGGCAGCATCTCCATCTTCTCCTTGTAAGAACCAATCGAGAACAAGACGTTCTTCTTGGGAAGACGGAAACCGGTGGAGATCAGAGCCTTCAGATAAGCTTCGTACTTGTCGCGACCGAAGGACGCAACTTCTCCGGTAGAAGCCATCTCAACGCCCAGAACTGGGTCGGCACCGGAGAGACGAGAGAAAGAGAACTGAGGGACCTTGACACCAACGTAATTCTTAGGGATGGTCACTGGAGGGTACTCAGCGAAGGGCTTGCCGATCATCGCCTTGGTAGCCATCTCAATCAGGTCGACGCCCATGACCTTCGACACGAAGGGGAATGAACGAGAAGCTCTGACATTGCACTCAATGACCTTGATATCGTTGTCTTTGGCAATGAATTGAATGTTGAAGGGACCAGTGACATTCAGAGCGTTTCCGATCTTAGCAGTGGCTTCTTCGATACGTCGAACGGTCTCAGGGTCAAGATCCTGAGGGGGCAAGATCAGGGTCGCATCTCCAGAGTGGACACCGGCATTCTCAACATGCTCAGAGATGAAATGTCCGACCATGACACCGTTACGAGCGACGGCATCCATCTCAATCTCTTTGGCGTTCTCGATGTACTTGGTGATAACGACGGGGTGTTCGCGTGAAACATCAGCCGCCTGGTTGAGATAGGAAGCAAGATCGTGCTCGGAATAGACGGTGTTCATGGCAGCTCCCGAAAGCACGTAGGAGGGCCGGACAAGCACTGGGTAGCCGACCTTGTCGCAGAATCCCTTGGCCTCCTCGATGCTGGTAAGTTCCTTCCAGGCAGGTTGATCCACGCCGATACGGTCAAGCATGCGAGAGAACTTGTAACGATTCTCCGCGCTGTCAATCATCTCAGGAGAGGTACCCAGAATCTTGACATTGAGGCGGTGGAGGGGTAGGGCAATGTTGTTCGGGGTTTGGCCGCCCATCGAAATGACCACGCCACTAGAGGACTCCAGCTGATAGATGTCCAGAACGGTTTCGAGGTTGATATTTTCGAAGTACAACCGGTCAGCCTCATCGTAATCGGTACTGACAGTTTCAGGGTTATAGTTGACCATGACAGTCTTGTGGCCCTGCTGACGGAGGGTCCGAATGGTACGCACAGAACACCAGTCGAACTCAACAGAGGAGCCGATTCTGTAGACACCAGAGCCCAAGACCATGATACCATTATCGTCGAAAGCAACATCATGGGCAGATGCATTGTATGTGAGGTACAGGTAGTTGGTCACTGAAGGGAATTCAGCAGCGACGGTGTCAATCTGCTTGACAATGGGGAGAATGCCAGCTTCAACACGTAGCCGCCGGATGGACAGCTCGTTCGAACTCAGGAATTTGGCGAGCTGGCGATCGGAGAAACCGAGCTGCTTGGCCTCGCGCAGAAGAGGACGAGGAACCGTAGTTGCATTGTAGGTGTTCATGAGCTTGCCAAAGTCACTCAAGCGCTTGAGTCTGGTGAGGAACCACTTATCAATCCTAGTAAGCTTCCAGATGTCATCGACGCTGTAGCCAGCAGCCATGGCGTTGGCAATGGCGAAAAGACGTTGATCTGAAGGCGTCTGGAGCTCTTGATCGATAGACATCAGTGCATTGGTTGCATTGAACCCTAGGTTGTGGAAGTCAACGGAGCGAATGGCTTTCTGAATCGCTTCCTCGAAGGTACGCCCAATGGCCATAACCTCACCAACACTCTTCATCGAAGAGCCAAGTAGAGTCGACACACGGGTGAATTTCTTAAGATCCCAACGGGGAATCTTCACCACACAGTAGTCCAGGGACGGCTCGAAGCAGGCACAGGTGACCTTAGTGACAGAGTTCTTGATCTCGTTGAGAGGAATGCCCAGACCAAGCTTAGCGGCGATGAAGGCAAGAGGGTAACCGGTGGCCTTGGACGCAAGGGCAGAAGATCTGGACAGACGAGCATTGACCTCGATGATGCAGTACTCCTTTGAGAAGGGGTTCAAAGCATATTGAATGTTGCACTCTCCGACAACACCAAGGTGGCGAATGACATTGACGGCTGTAGTACGTAGCATATTGTAATCCTCATCAGACAGAGTCTGCGAAGGTGCAACGACAATAGAGTCGCCAGTGTGAATACCGAGAGGATCAAAGTTCTCCATGTTGCAGACAGTGATGCAGTTGTCCTGGCAATCACGGACGACCTCGTACTCAATTTCCTTCCAGCCCTTCATACTCTTTTCAATCAGAACCTGGGGACTGACGGCGAAAGCCTTCGTACACAGCTCCTTCAACTGATCCATGTTATCAGCGAAACCACTGCCAAGACCTCCGAGTGCATAGGCAGCACGGACGATGACGGGGAATCCGATATCCTCGACGACTCTGAGAGCCTCCTCCAGGTTGGAGGCGGACGCAGACTTGGCGCACTTCTCGTTGATGGACTCCATGCTTCGCGCAAAGAACTCACGGTCCTCGGTTGTGATGATGGTGTCAATCGGCGTACCAAGGACCTTGACGCCAAGGGATTCGAACTCATCCTTGAGCTGGATACCGACTTGGAGGGCGGTCTGACCACCAAATGTGACATAGATGGCATCAGGACGCTCGTGCTTGATGACCTTGCGCACAAAATCCGCGTTGACGGGGAGGAAGTAAACCTTATCCGCAAGACCCTTGGAAGTCTGGATAGTGGCAATATTGGGGTTAATGAGGATAGTGTAGATTCCTTCTTCCTTCAAGGCCTTGATAGCCTGGCTACCAGAGTAGTCGAATTCTCCAGCCTGACCAATGCTGAGGCCACCACTTCCCAGGATCAGAACCTTCTTGACAGAGACACGTGGCGATGTCTTGATGTTCTCGGCCTTTGTTCCACCAGGGAAAGAGACAGGCTTCTGAAGAGCATCAGAAGAGGCAAGAGTGTCCTTGATAGTGTTGATGAACACATCGAAGAGATACTCAGTGTCCCGGGGACCAGGAGTGCTTTCGGGATGGAATTGCACACTGAAGAAAGGGCGGCTCACATGCCGGATACCCTCGTTGCTGCCATCATTTGCGTTGACGAAAAGCTCCTCCCAGCCCTCGGGAAGAGTCGAGGAATCGACAGCGTAACCGTGATTCTGGGAGGTGATGTGGCACTTGCCCGACAGCATGCTGGTACAGGGGATGTTGTGACCGCGGTTACCGAACTTCATCTTAAGTGTCTGGGCACCAACGGAACGAGCAATCAACTGGTGACCCAAGCAAATACCAAAGACAGGAGTCCTGCCCTCCTCCAGGGTCTTGGATAGATTGTTCACGGTTTCAGAGAGCATCGCTGGGTCACCGGGACCGTTCGACACGAACAGACCATCGTAGTCCTTGCCGGCAAGCTTGGGGAAATCGTAGTCCCACGGGACAACGAGAACCTCAACACCACGGGCAAGCAAGCAACGCAGCTGGTTGAACTTCATACCCACATCCAAGCAAAGGACGCGAACTGGGCGGCCAGACGGGTGTTTGAGGGCGACATTCTCGGGGGGTGTGAAAAGGCGAGGCTCACGGATCGAAACTGAGCATTATGTCAGATATCGAACCTTTCAAAGATGCATTTCCGATTGTCAAAAAGACCTACCTTCGCTCACGAGGTTCTTCTTGTTGGGGTCTACCCATTCGATCTGTTCGAAGGATGACCTCCAGCTGTCTTTGTCGCCTAGAGTCACCTCCACGACGCCATCGGCGATTTCAGACTTTGAAAGCATCATGCGGCCGAGCATGCTACCCTTTTCACGGATGCGCTTGGTCAGAGCACGGGTGTCTACTCCGTGCATGGCGGGGACGCCCTGCTCCTTGAGCCATTGTCCGAGGGATGACTCGGCGAGGAAGTGAGAGTAATCCTCTCCGGCGTATGTTGCAACAACGAGAGCTGCAACGTGGATCTCTGTAGACTCGAAATATTTGGGCAATGTCTTCAGAAGCTCGTCCATGGTCTCACGGGAGGGCACACCGTAGTTGCCCACCAGAGGGAAAGTGATGACCAGGATCTGACCGCGGTAGGAGGGATCAGTGATCGACTCCGGGTATCCCACCATACCGGTCTGGAAAACCAACTCTCCTGCCACACTCTTCTCAGCACCAAAGCTGTAGCCCTGGTAGACTGTGCCATCCTCGAGTTCGAGGGCGAACATCTTGCCGCTGCTGCCTCTTACTCGGGCAGAAGCAGGCGGAATGACGGCTCCATTTCCTGACTCCATTGATGGGAGTGGCTGCAGTTCCCTGTTGATCTGATTGTAGGACACGGCCCCTCCAGACAAAGGGCTGGAGGGGAGAGCGACTTCGTCGTTACCGGCGGACTGTGGCATTGCGGTATCTGATGGGGAGGAAAAGGTCCTCTGGGGGACAAATTGGCAGGGTCTTCACTCTACCGTAGCATCAGCAGCCTCCAAGTCTCTTCTTGATGATAAGAATAGAGGAGGACGAGTGTTTCTCTACTGCTTCAGCACAGGGAGAGGAATATAGAAGAAGAGGAGAAAGAATTCTCGTGCGAACGGCAGAATAAAAATTTTGTGTATGGGGTGCTCAAGAAGCTCTCTCATTGGACTGATTGGCTTGACCGATCCGGGGATCGGGGTGGTTTTGCTGGTCCTTACCGCCCGCAGACTTTTTCTTTCCTTTCTTCCATCGCTCGCCCAACGGATTGGTGCCGCTGAATTCGATAAATGGTGATACTCGATCTCACAGTACACCAATATATCTACATATGGAAGATTAATTATAGGTTTTTCTTGATTCTCGACAACCAATTGATCACTTATACAGTATCTAGGTAGTATTGAACGAAAAAAACAAGCGAAGCCGGGTAGCTGCCTTTTCTTTTTTCCCGTCAATTTTCCACGCCATCCTTGGCAGACGTAAGCTATGCCGCCACTCGCTACCCAGATTCGGTTAGTTGCCTCCTCGAGACCTTGGACTGGAGAGAAAAGTTGCAGGCGGTGAGCTTTTTCCAAGACCCTTGTCTCATGACTGCTCCATACATCAGGGACAGACGCAAATAGGTAGACAGCCTCGATATTGGTTACAAGTCAAGTGATTGCATAGACAGTACATGAACTCATCCAGGTGTTCTGAACTCACCAGAGCCGTAGCTCTGTGGATACGAAGTACCGAAGCCAGGGATTTCACCTCGAAGCCAGTAATAAACCAGGGGTGGGGGGCGCTTCCACTTCTAGGCCCCATATCAGCGGCCTGAATACTGTTTTTTGTCTTCTGTTCGTCATAGGAAATCTGAGTTTTCAGCGAGCGAAAAAAATGTACCAACAGAGAGATATCGAGCTCTTGAACAAGGTACTGGAGTCCTCGGGGAACCTATCCGTTTACACATTTCCTCAGAAAGTAACTCGTCTAAATTTCAGCAGCATAATCAGCATCATGTCATTTAGAACTGTAGATGCTCGGAAAGCATTTGTTTTTTTACACCGTTTCTTCGAGTTTCACGAGGAGCTCATGTCATGAGTGACCATGCTCAGTCTCACCCCTCACTTGAAATTTGGAAAATGGGGCACGTAAGCACTGCCTACTCTGTATCATAGAATATGGCAGAGCGCTAAATATCTTTTGTGTGAAGTACCCCGGTAAGCCCAACCATAGTTCTGGGCCAGCCCAGGATCAAAGCTCTACTAGCCTAGACTCAACCTCCTGCACCTCAAAACAGCTGGATTATTTTGATTAATATTGAATGGCCAATACTTGCTCTGTAGAGTCTACCTAGTTGTAGGACTCTTAGGCTTTGGAGCCTCCATGGCTCTATACGGTATGGAGAGAGGATGGCTAAGATCCTATGAGCATAGCCCATGACTGGGGAGAGAGAGATAGGATCTGCAACAAGGACAAGATATCTAATGCTATCTCTGCATGCAATGAGTAGATCTTCCCCCACCCACTGCAGCAGGCGCATGTGCACTGCGTGAATTATCTAAATCCACCAACCCTCTCGAGCCTCGACATTCTTGTTTTTTCGCTTTGCACCCTTCAGTTGCTTTAATTGAGGCTTTTGAGCCCTCAAACAAGCTCTCTTTTTTAATATCGTGGGCCCTTGCTTCCTGTCTCAATCATCTAATGTTTATTATTTACGGCCTTTGTTTCGGCTCTCTCTCCACGACTCCCCTCTCCATACCTTAGCTTGACAGGAAAACGCGCCGCTCACGCTACGCTGCATTCGCCAACCGGGATGCCTTGAACGACTGTTATCGCTCAATTGGTCAACCCCTAGAATCTCGGAATCTGGTTTAGAAATAATGCTCGCCTCTCTTCTCCGCCCGAAGAAAAGAAGAGTTTACGCGGAACGTTCCCCATTTTCATCCCCTTACACGACTCGAGAAGGTCCTTGGCCTTTCCGCCAGGGAGAGGCTCAACATGCGAGTCCTGAGATGAGATACAACGAGACTCATGGCGCATTCCTTGACGAGGACTATCAACATGCAGATGATCTCGGTGAGGATGCAGATCAGGAGGAAGAAGATCGCCCTATTGAGTCGACTCCTCTTCTTCCCATATTCTCTGCTTCGCATCTGGGTATGGTCATCTCTTCCTGCGATTTTTAAGGTCTCATATAATACAAGGACTTAACGTGGATTCGCTTGTGAATAGATGCTCTTCCGGTCTACGATATCACTCATGCGGTTCGGCTGTTGATCGAGTCGCGATGCGAAACCACGCTGACATGGGACCAATTGCGCTCTCCCCAAATCTCACAGTTTCTAGTGAAGCCGATCCAGCAGAAAATTATAGCATTACACTTCTCACGTGGAACATTATACGCTCTGATGGCAAACTGCTTGCAGTTCAACAAGGAGATCCACTTGAATCCTGGAAACAGTGGTGCGTCTCAGACAAGAGCCATGGTGAGCGAGCTTCTTGCGATCAAGCTTCTGCGGGAATACTCGACTAGGGAGTTGATTGATGCTCTTTCTTACGAGTTTTATCCCCTGCAAGGCCAGACGTCAGCAGTGGTTCAAGGCTTCCAAGAAACATCGGGCAAGTATCCTGCCACCGGCAACAAGCCACTGGCAGGTGTTGCCCGTATTTCCTGCCTCGAGGTTGCCATTCGCGCTCAGGCGAAACGGTTCTTAGCTCATCCTGTAGTGGTACAGCAGCTAGAAGCAATTTGGGCTGGTACAATAGTCTTTCATTCAGCTGCCGACAATCTTCATCGTACCCCAACGGCAGCACGACGGGATGGAGGGCCCCCATACGGCACTGCCCATGCAGCATCCCACAGTTCAGCGCAACTAGTCTCCAGGCCACGACGGTCAGTGACGCTTTACGATCCAAGAGATGCCTCTCTTTTCAAGCTCTCCCGGCTTCGGGTGCCTCGATACCGACAATTTCTATCCACTCTATCATTTGCTGTCCTCCTAGGCTTGTTTCTCGCAGTTCTGGTGCAACGACGAGTGGATATCTCGTCTCTGGAGCTTATCTTCTGGTTTTGGAGCGCAGGGTTCATGCTTGACGAAATCGTTGGTTTCAACGAACAGGGCTTTAGTCTATATCTCATGAGCTTCTGGAACCTGTTTGACCTCGGGATTCTATTCCTGCTCTTCTGCTATTATTGCATGCGGCTATATGGTGCTCTGATGCCCAGCCCATACAATTACGCAATTGCCGACAGAGCATATGACATCCTCGCCGCCAATGCGGTTCTGCTCTTTCCCCGACTCTTTTCGGTCCTGGATCACTATCGATATTTTTCGCAATTGCTTATTGCGTTCCGCATAATGGCTTCGGATTTGGTTGCAGTGTTTCTTCTGGTCGCCATTACGTGTAGTGGGTTTTTTGTCGCGTTCACTCTATCGTTTGGCAACATTGAAGAGCATACCCCTGCGTCTGTTGCTTATGCCCTCTTCCAGATGTTGATGGGATTCACTCCGGCTGCGTGGACGCTCTGGGACGATTACAACATCCTGGGCAAGTTCATTTTGACACTCTTCCTATTCATCTGTCACTTTGTCGTGGTGACGATCCTTATTACCGTTCTGACCAATTCTTTCATGGCAATTGTACAGAATGCCAATCAAGAGCATCAATTCTTGTTTGCTGTCAATACTATTTCGATGGTCAAGTCGGATGCGCTTTTCTCCTACGTGGCACCGACCAATATCATTGCGTGGCTGGTCACGCCGCTCCGTTATTTCATGCCTTTGAGACAGTTCATCCGACTCAATCGCACTGTCATCAAAATCACACATTTTCCGGTCCTCTTCTCCATATGCCTTTACGAGAAGGCAATCCTCAGTCCCAGAGTCAACGAGCCGATTGATCTCATTGATCCTTCGATTCATCCCGACGCCTTGTCTCGCAGTCGCCCCCGCCACGGTCGCTTCAAATCATTCAATCCTCAAGCTCCTCGGCTTGTACGAGAGCCATCAGTGGCAACGTATCAGAAAGACCGCGCTCTTGAAGAAGTTTTCCGGAATCCTTTGGAGGAGACAAATCGGCGTCCGCCGAGGCTGATGCAACAGAGAAAGAGCAATAATATTGTTAGCAATTGGATGCAAGCTATGGGGTCTGGCCCTGTACACCCTCCCGATGAGCAGGACTCGGATGAAGTTGATCGATTGGAGAGACCCCCCAGGAGGCCTCGATTTCCCTTTCGAGGAAGGACCACTGGAAGTCTCCGCGATTTTACCGGTTCCAACCGTTCTGTCACGTCAGATCCTGAAGGGCATGTCGGTCATATTGTCTCCTCACCTGCCACGCCACGTCATGAGAGAGCCAACGTGTCTCCGGCCAGGATACGGCAGCTTTCTCGGCACACGGACATTGAAGGCGACGATGAGTTAACCAGCGATGATACAGAAGTACGCCGTTCGAATTCTTCAAGTTCTGGGAGAAACGGTGGTGTGAGTCCAGGTAAAGCAACACCGAAGTTCTACAGCTCCCGGCCCTCCACAGCGAGAGTGAAATCACGCAAAAACAGTCCTTCTCGGCGTCCCAAGTTTCACACGCGGAATTACTCCGCCGCGACAATGCTTTACAATCCTGTCCCTTCGGTCAGCAACGACGAAGGAACCGACGTGTCTCCTGTTCCCATCAGACCCAGAGCGGAGACGCCTTCGGCAGGGGATGATGCGGCCACTGCAACTTCCGTAGACCAATGGATGCAAAGAAGACATAGTTTGGATGTTGGAGTTTCTCAAAACATGGCTTTGCCCAGGTCAAATCCCATGTCTGTACCTGACTTAGGCAGCTTCTTACCAACCGAGTCGCAACCACGGGGTCGCCGTCATGCATCCCATCTGTATGGGCTGGGCTCTGACCTGGGTGACAATAGGGCAATTGCAAATGGATTCTTGGCTGCTTTGCCTGCAAGCTTCACGACGCAAATGGGATATGCTGCGGGTGGCATCCCCAGACCTGACAGCTCTGGTAGCAATCAAGACATGCTCAGCAAGCTTGTCTTGGCTCGCATGAACAATATCGAAGAGGGATTCCGTGAGATGTTGAAAGAGGTGAAAGATCTCCGGCGGGGCGAGTCCAGTCGAAGCCAGAGTCGACCCGACGAAATGAGAAGCGCCCAAAAAGACAAGAAGAAACGTTTGGAGAGCAGGGATTCGAAGAAGAAAGCTCAAGGGTCCCGCAAAAGCAAGAATAGCAGCGAAGGGATGCAGTCCGCTGGCCTATCGACAGACTCATGACCACGGGACTTTATGACATGATGATACTACGCGCTCATGACTTCCTTTCTACCACAGGCTCGTAAGCGAGCAGTAATGACGTGAATCTCCTTTTTGGCTTGTTATGTCTATCACCGAGTGGCTGTCTCATATCATTTACATCAGTCTGCAATTCATACCCTCTATAGCGAGCCAGAAATCATGAAATGATCTGTTGTTTTTACTTCACCAGAATTTCATTAGGCCTGATCCACCCAAAACTATCAGTACCATGTTCCTGGACGTCGCTCATGAGCCTCGTAGAAGGAAGCATGCAGGATCAACCCTATTTCTTCCTTATATCCTCAGGGACGAACCCCCTCCTGTTCCCCTCAGGGAACTTGTCACCGTGACCACCTTGCATAGCCGCCCGCTCCTCGTCGGAAACCAGAGATCTCCCATGCTTCGGCGCAAGCGCACGGAACATCAGCCATGCCCCAGTTATGACGCCGAACATGCTCGCCAAAGCGAAATTTCGGGACCTGCCAAAGCAAGAAGGGAATGAAAGTCAGATAGCCGTCTGGTGTACAATAAGGGTCTTTTGCATGAGATGACGTACTGGACAGATCCTTTGTGGCCATGCGTGATGGGCCCATCTTTTGCCATTTCTTGTTGGTTTGATGAACCGAGGTGGACGGTTCGTTTGGTCGTAATTGGGTTGGTTTCTTGATTGAAATTATGGTCTGAGAGCGGTAGGGTCCTTGATCTGGGACGATATGTTCAGGAACATCTGTTGTAGTCCTCTGTGGCTAATGACCTGCCCATGATACTATATCTTTGCGATGATTTGACGTCACGTTGAAGCTTGAACCAGGGACCAGGGACACCCGGATATATACCATGGATCGATGATTGATTTGTCTGTATATGTGTATCTCTAGCTTACTACTGCCCGCATACTCCCTTATAGGGTGATTTTCTGCAGTAAGGTAGAGAAAGTGTAGGTAGGCAATCTCAATGGATAACAATATTCCTCTTTAACATGGAAAAACGGCGTAGTAAGACCTTTACTTTATTCATCAACAATCCCATTTAGTAATATGGCTAAATAGCATAGTACAGATTCAAGGTTCATCGTTGCGGCTGTGTACTGTCAGCGAATCATATCTATCTTCTCATCATAGCCCAAGCGTGCGCGATAAAAAGCAGATGGAAGCCTACGGAGCACAGGGAAGCGCATGCGTTTTCCCGTCGGGTGCAGCAGTGGTCACACGTAGTCAGCCTCATTACAAATGAACAGGAATGAGGCTGGCACGACATATGATCTTAATAATATTTGTTTCTTTTTCCGTTTGAAATCCTCTGGTGATGTCTTTCGCGGTTTCTGGACATCTAATCATGTTTTAAAGCATCGTTCCTCGTCCATGACTCAGGTTTCATCATCTTCGTTCTGTTCTCCTCCCACCTATACAGCGACGATTTATAAAAGGAGGCTGCTGAACGCTAGCACCGGACGATAGTTAACGGCTCCGCTGTATGAATATGAATATGGACTTCTCTACTACTGAACAAGCTGAAGGGGACTCCTCTACATTTGAGGAGTGGCAATGGCCACGACTTCCTGTTGGATCCACCTACATCCCCATTCGACCAACACCCCCAAGGTCGAAGACCAGAAACGCTCCTGCGCCTTGCCCACCGCTGCTCCTTCTAGACAACGCAGACACTCTCGTGTTCATCGATTCACCACCACGACCATCGACCAGCTCCGTTTTACCTGCCTCAAGGGGCTATATCCCGCACCGCGTACACAGCCGGAAGCTCTTGGAAACTGATTCCTCTTTCTTCAAGAAGCTCTTCAATCCGAGGACGCAGGCTCGGATTGTCAAGCGCCGTGAACTCACTGGCGGGCTTACGAACGGGCTCAAGTATGTTATAGATCTGACTCCTCCGACAGAGGGGGAAGAGGCGGTCATCACCATCACGGAGCTTTCTTGCCCTCTTGGTATCAGGAGCTGGACCCGCTGTCAGAATCGATGGTACCTCCCAGCCTCGTGCGTTGGGGGGCAGGACCAGGTTGAGGCGTTGGATACAAATACACGCAAAGGCTTCGGCGGACCGCCGTCCCATGAGTCGAATAATTCAGTCGCGCAGAATCCTGAGACAGATGAACGGGCTGGGAACCATCAGGAAGGTGAGGTGGGAAAAAAGGCTGTCACATCGCCCGAAGGTGAGGTGGGAAAAAAGGCTGTCACATCGCCCGAAGCTTCGGATTCTAAGGTAGAACGCCAGAACCTTGAATTACCACTAGACTACTCTGCTTCTCGTCACCATGCAGGCATTGAACAGATCTTGCAGGCTCTGGAGGATTTCCCTCCTCAACTTGACACTCCTTGCAAGCTTTGGACCTTTTTTGCCTTGGCGAAGCTGTATGATATCGCCACGACACCGAAGATATGCGACCTCATTCTTTCCTGGTTTTACGAGTCCACCAACGTCCGATTCATTGAGATCCACCCGGAGATCAGCTATCGCATAGCTTGTGGGATCCAGTGCGCCTCCCTTTGTCGGGACACCTTCTCTATCCTTGTAGGGGAGGAGGCCCTACTTCTGCTGGCTAACGGGGACGGACCAGCCCGCCTGGGGAGGCCTCAGGTGACATGGCATGGACGCCTGCGTGAGTCGCTAGATGACACAGAGCTCCAGCGTATTGAGTACGCAAGTAAGAGCTTCCTGGATCATGTTATAGATCGTTTCGTTCACTTGATGGGGCTAGCATGGCATGGCTCCATGGTTTATCCGAGTTTCAGAAAGTTTACCATTTCCAACCAAGATCCTCACAAGAAGAGGAAGCCAAGTCTTGGCTTCTCACTGCTCTGAAAGACTTCGTGAGATGCACCTTATTGTCGCCACTAAGGGGCGGTGTTCCTGAAAGAGGGTGCCGAGAAGTATCCCTCAGCTCGCAGGACCATGAGGGCTATCCGCCACCAGATTTCGCGAACGCTTACAGAGAGATGTCGCCAGCAGAGCGCATAATTAGCAGGACATTTTGGCACAGTCTATCCATTGAGAGTTTTAGTGGCCAGTGCCCTATTCTCCCCGCAAAACAGCCTTCCATCATTGCCTCCCTTGCCAAGAGTATTCCGCAGTTCAGAGAGCAAGAAGACTGGCACACCAGTGGTATATTACGAAAAGGGTTGATAGGCAGAGTCGTAGACTTCAATACTTTCTACAGAAGGCTAGGGCGGAGAGTCTTCGATTTGGACACGAGACGGCCCCAAATGACGGCAAACACCCCCACATCGGGGTTCTCTATATACAGCGCGCCCCAACTACAGAATCTCCCGGGGATTGATTTGGTTCTACCGCGTGAGATGATAGAATTTGACTTGGATATCTTCTTCGCTCAGGTTCGGGCTTACGTTAATGACTACGCCAAGCAGATGATCACCCCTCGGTCTTCAACCATGTTCTACGAACTGACTGATGCTTTGACATGTCTCACGGAGAATGAGTTCAAATATCTTCCCTTGTGGGCTGGTGGCAATGATGACGGGTCCGGAGGCGTCTTTACTGATGATAACGTGCCATTACTTGAGACCGGGGCTTCTCGACCCCGGGGCCAGCAATCCATACGGGTAGCACAGCCTCCTCGGTGATGTCGCATTCCACCATCGCGGCCTCAGAGATTGATACTACAGTCCAAGGTGCCTCCAACAGGGCCACGGAAAGTCATCAGAGTGATCTAATGTCGATTGATACGGATATTGAACAGGACAGTGGAAGGAACAGCGACCATGTATCATTTTCGTGGCAGAGTGCTGACGACGATACCTCGATCGACCTGAGCTCTGCCGATGACGAGGAGTTTGAATTTGGTTCTGCTAGTGACTCTACTGACACCGTTGTTATGGGCTCTCCGAGTCATAGTGACCTTCTGAGTGACTTTGAGGAGGTGCATATGGACGACAATGATTCTGCTTCACGTCACTGAATGCTGATAATCTGCTTTGGCGACTTTGCATCTAAGATTTGGTTGGGATGGACGATTTGGGGTCAATGGAATGTTGCACCAATAACGCACTATGATTGATGAATAATGATATTGAGCCCTTTTCGATGGTTACATATATGCAGCATGTCCTCCAACATATCAGAAATCTTGAGCAAGTACACCATGGTGATTATGTTTCAAGTGTAAGTGTCTCTAATTTAATTGACGAACCCGATTAGTCCTCGATGGAATTCTGTCTCAGATCAAGAAAGAGCTCTTTCCTCGAGCTTAGACGAATTTTGTTGGCTTGTCAATAGGAACAAAGGTATTGTCGTTGGTTGCGTAATTGACAATGCTCTTTGAAACACCTTCTTTGATCGAGACGGTCTTTCTACTTGTATCTCTTTCCTGGCACTCGCATGCTATGTAGTACTCGGTGTGACTAAGAAGGAATGAGGTACACGGTGTGCAAAGGATGCGGGTCAACGTTCAACGTAAGACACTAATGAGATGCCTGTTCGACTTCTTCAAGTCTTGATATATCTAGAGATTTATTGTCAAATCAATGAGACCATTCCATTGTTCTTTGTTTTCGACGATTGTCTTAGAAATGCAGTTTAGTTTCCTGTATCAACTCGCTTCTTCATTGGAGTTGCAGCGCTCGAAGAAAGGTAAGTGATGCACAGGATCGAGACAGTTCGAGGTGATCTCTCTGTGGGATCGGAAGTCTCCCGCATCACTTGTAAATCCCTTTTTTCAAAAATCTCGCATTGCAAGACAAGAGTCTTTATACCTGGTAAGACAGGCCAGCTTGATGAAAGCGCCAACTTCGCCAGATGCGGTATAAAAGCTGGCTCACCTCCTCTATTATGCCTTGCCATCCAACTCACTTGCTGCTCTCACCTCATCTCTATACACTTCGCCTCATCCTCTGCCAATCTTTTCTCCAACAGCTCGAACAATTCCCGAACAACTGCACCATGCCCGCACAACACCATGCAACTCGCACTCCTACGGGGAAGCCACCCCGCAACGACCTCAGGAGGCAGGTTCTTACCCGCAACTCTGGTGCGCCTCCCAGGACGACTTCCAACCTACCGCGTAGGGACCCAAGAATCCCAGCGAGCGAGGTCCATCCCGCACTGAGAACTGTAAGTAATTCCATCATCTGCTCAGCCATTTCTTTGCTAACATGTTTTAGTACCGCCAAGCCCCCACCGTCAAGCCCGTCATTGATGTCCTAGACGGCGAGCACAAACTTTGGGACCTTACCGAGATCTGGTACCAGATCCTCAAACTCCATTGTGCCCCGGAAGACGGCTTCATCATCAAAGCTGTTCCCGAGACAGCCAGTCCTGAAACACCGGAGACGTACGGACTGCATGCGATGACCGTCACCGGACCTGGTGCAGAAGGATACAGCACCTTCTTCGCCATCGTCTGCGCGACCGCAGTGCATCGGGACGAGACATCGGTCCGCTTGCGAGCTGCTAATGAACTCAGAAGGCTGCTCGCTGAGATATATCACACGAGGGTCACGAACGGACAGTACACTCAGCTCCGTGGAGCTGTGGCGGTTGGTCAATCCGTTCAGTTCTTCAACTGGGGCGAAGATGGAGTCCTAAGAGTGTTTCCCTGGGCGACACATCCGTTTCATATCAAAGGCGACCATTATGCTGTCCAAGGTTGTCTTGACATTGTCGTCCAGCATCATTGATTTCATTTGTCTGACTCTTTTTTCTAGCAGTAACGCACGTTCTTACGACGAGATTGAAACAACCAGCTCAGTCCCATATCAACATGGGAGGAGACTGAGGGTCGCTTTAAGCTCGATCGTCGCTTGCTCAGGTACGTCTTCACTCTCTCTCCTTGGTTTCGTGGTTGATTCTTTCTTTATTATGTAGCAGGTGCTTGGGGATAGTATTTGCTTGAAGTTAGTCGAATGTGCATTGAATCTTCCCGATCAATCTTACCACGTCCTGCGTATTAATCATCTCTCTCTTTCTTTCGTAGGTCGATGGCTGCCTTCGTAGATGTCCAACACGTGACAGAATCTGGGGTTCTTGGCGGCGACGTCACGGAATTCCACCGCCGCCTTGCATTCAACGGAAACTCTCCTGATCTTCAGAGTTGAAGGAATAAGAACTCGGAGAATATCTGTTGGGTATTGAATCCTACAGTTTATCCGTCCCTGGAGCGACCCACTCGATTCGTCGTCCGTTCAGCAAAGGTCTCTCACCATTATGGCTTCCTCATCACAACCTTCGAGCTTCTTGCTCTAGTATGTTCTACCCATATTTCGGACGTCCTTGACGCTCTGGACTAACAGATCTTCGACAGCTCTTGTATAGCACACCGCACAACTATTCTCGCAGAGCATTCGTCACCCGGGACATCCTCTACTGCAGCATCTTCACTAGCATCCATTATCCTCCCTAAGATCACACATGACAAGCCCCAGAAGCTCACTTACACACATGAGCGTCTCTTCGTCCATTACATCGCAGATTCACCCACAGGCTCTTCGGATGATGCCGGTCGCCAAGAACCAAACTCCTATGCACCTCTCAGCTACATCGTCGTGGCGACCGCCGAACAAGGCCGTCGCATTCCATTTGCATTTCTCCTCGAGATGAAACGCAAGTTCCTATCGACTTACCCCCCTTCGAGCACTGATTTTTCTTCTCTCCCTGCATACGGCTGTGCCGCTTTCAATTCGGAGCTTCGTTCTCTCCTCCAGACATACAACACCGCCCCGCCGTCGGACTCTCTTGCTTCAGCCCGACGGGAGATCGACAGCGTCCGTGACATTATGACAGAGAACATTGAGCGGGTACTTGAGCGTGGTGAACGGATTGATTTGTTGGTCGATAAGACTGATCGGCTTGGGGGCAGCGCGCACGACTTCCGAGTGCGTAGTCGCGGTCTGCGGCGGCGGATGTGGTGGAAGAATATCAAGCTGATGGTGCTTCTGGCTGTTGTGGTGGTCTTCCTCGTCTATCTTTTCGTCGGTATGGGATGCGGCTTGCCGGCTTGGGGGAAGTGTGTTGGGCACAGTGCGTAGGGCTCCTGTCATTGTCCAAATCATCACTCCTCTGTCGCTGAACGAATGGGAGCGATGTCCTCTTTCTGTGCACATACCCTTTCCGACCGTAGAATGTACGTCGATCGCTCTGTGAATTGCCAGCTTACGATAGCATTTACGATTGTGACCTTTTTTGTCCGCCTTGTCTGTGATATCGCTTGCCTTGTATGTACTCTTATGTCAACTTTATATTACTTTTTTAGCCTATGCATATTAGGTAGCAGCTTGAATACGATGAATGTACGCTATCGCTTGCTTCAGAAATTACTCTTCCGTCTGACATATTTACATGCTTGTTGATGTCATGGGTCATCCGGTTAGTGATCCCGATGAAAGCGAAATATATATTGCTGGTTCTGGGTACTAATACACACTAACAGAAAGCATATAATTCCAACATAATTGAGAATTCGATTTACTGAACAGCGTGGAAGTTGTTATTGAATCATTGTTTGTTAGAAATCCCACATTACTTATTACCTGATGAAATGGACGGCGATTTGTATATCTCCTGCACGCGCACGTGCTTTGTTCACAACAAACAGTATCAGGATTCTTAGTGGCAATCTAATCAGATCAGAGAAATGTGACTTTCGATAACAAGATTGGTTCATTCTCTAAGAAACAATATCTAGCTTCTACGAAGGCATGTCCCTCGCTATCAAACTCGCAGCTTCCTAGCTAACGCTCAGTGCGAGTCTGCAAGCGAGCGGAAATAAACCCCTGGTTTGTACCAGTTTGGTTGTTTTCCGCGGTTCATTCTGCGCCAGCCGTATACCTCTCCAACCATGGGAAACCGCCCTGGGGACGGGGTTGATGAGGAGATAATCTGGCGCCATTCCAGGGAATGAGGGGAAGGGGGATCGGGTAGCTACGAGGCGTTCCGGAAGGCTGAACGCATCTGTGGTCGAAACTCAGTATCACGGATTGCTGCGATGGGCATTCTGGCTCTCTCCGTGCATTGCGTCGCCTCTGGGCTGGGATTTGCGTTTGCGTTTGTTCGTTGACTGTGTGGGCGACTTGTTTGGAGGGGGAAAAGAACCGAGACCTGGAAGTAAACCGATGCCGCCAGACCACACCAATGAGTGAGGGAATTCGAACAAGTGAAGTGGATCTGAGATTTCGGTAGTATTCTCGATAGGAGTTACCTAAAATGCAGCTGCAGGTCGGGTGAGAGGAAAGATCAGGAACGCCAACTGTTGTCGCTCAGAGCCAAACCCGAACGATGAGATGAAGAAGAAATTTTGCACTTTTTTTCTTTCCATTCATAGCGTGCACCTGTCTTGGAAGACGGAAGCCTGGTCATAGCAGGTTTATTTTCTCATTTTGAGTATCTCATGTACTCCCACGCCATCGCCCCTATTGCAACAAGAAACACAGAAAACAAGTCCCTTAAGCACGAGCCTTAGCAGCCTCACGGCCCTTTCCGATGCGCTCCAGAATCTGTTCGCGGTCCTTGTCCAGCTTGAGCTTGGTGATAACGACCTTCGAGGGGTGGATGGGGATAGGGACGCTCTGGCCGTTGGACTTCTCACGGACAACACGCTCGACGTGAACGCACCACTTGAGACGGTAGACGGTGGTGATCTTTCCCTCGCGTCCCTTGTTGGAGCCGCGCACAACGGTGACCTCGTCGTCCTTGCGGATGGGGATGGCGCGAACCTATAGGGTATCTGTCAGAAACGAACGTCCTTCACAAGACTTTGTACTGATCCCTGGCTATCCTCCCGCGCGAGTCCCTCTGAACAAGAGTGTAGAATCTGACAACGGGAGATGATCGGTTTAGGAGAGGTGGCATAATGGGAGGCGTACGTTGTACTTCTCACGGAGTTCCTTGCTCAGAGGAGCGCTCATGATGACACGGCGCTCGCTGGAGGGAGCGCTGAAGTGCGCCTTGCGCGACTTCCGGCGGGAAGAGGCGATTCCTATCATTGAAAAAACCGAGAGTCAGTATCCTCCCAATACAATTCCTGAGCGTTGGCGGTTTGAGAATGTGTCTTCGAAGAAAGGAAAATATCAAAGGCGTATTCGAGGAACAGGACGTTTGCGATGAAGATCTATTGAGCAAAAAAAAAGTCGAACATACCGTTGTTCATGACGGTCATCTTGATAGGCCTCTTTTTCTGATATGACCGGGCGTGGTGAACGTTGTCGTCGTTAGTCGTCGTCGAAACAGGACTCTTTTTGCTGTATTCTCAAAGTGTTAGCCGAAAATGTGTGGGAGCCCGAATGTGCGTCACATGACATCCCGCTTAGGCTAGGGTTGGCGGGTTTCCGCTGATTGGATGATGTTGCCCCTCTCTCCGGAAGGGGAAGTTCCCTGCCTGGCCAATTGTTGCATCACCTCCGGGGCGCGCGCGGATCGGCCTAAGTCTCACATCGGAGCGTGTCGCATTACTGATTCTCGCATCAGCACTGAGTGAGATGAAGGTAGACATACGCCTTCGCCAATAGTTCTTCCAATTGACATGTTTGACCTCACTCCGACCTCTTTTGTCCTTGACTTTCCACCATGCTTAGCATCTTGAACTGGCCCCTCAGTTGCTCCGCAGCGACATTGTCCGCCCACGATGGCGAACGATTACTTCGAATGGCTTCAGAATCACCGAGAGACGGGCCCTTCTCGGTTTCCTCAGCAAAATCAATATGCTTCCTCCCCGTGGCCGCTTCAGGGGTACCGGGATTCGTTCTTGGATTTCCACCCTACATCTCAAACACCATTGAGCGACATTCGCCAACCGTACCACTATGAAACACATTATGCTCCTCTTGAACAATATGCGATGCCGCAGGACACAACATATTCCTCATCGACTGCCTACCCTTTTGCCTCTTATCAAGGAGGACAGCAATACGGAGCAAACCCACCTGCGACTACACAACAACCACCTCCTGCCCCTCCTCCTCTTTGGACCCTCTCACAACCTCTACCTACGAACTACGCTCAAACACAACCGCAAAATGCTTCGTCATATCTGAACCACCCCCCTTTTACGCGCGCGACCGAGGTCGTTGATGCTGACGTTAGTGGGCATGATGCGAAGAGGCGTCGTCTTGAATCACCCGCGACTGTGACCTTGTCGAAACCGACGATGCCACCTCAAGAAAGTCTCTCGAAATATTCCTTTACTCCGCAAGACACCACGGACAGGAGCTATCTGAAGACGCGTGCGGACATAGCAAAACCACTGAGCGTGACTGACGCGGCGGAAAAGCTACAATACGATCCGAAAACAATTGCCCGAGATGTCTTGATTGCGTCTGGGCGCCACCCTACGGAAGCTCCTTTGAACCATCATCTATTCCGCCTTCGAGATGTCTTCACTGGACTCGACACTGCTTCAGATTTGGAAACCTTTCGCTGGGATCTTGTAGACCCGGAGGAGAAGCGAGTCAACAATACAACCACAGCACGTGACGTACAAACGCTCTCCGCGCCGGCGCATGTGACATCCGCCATGGCGCGTCCAGCCCAACCAAATCCTCCATATGCTGGTGTTGCCGCAACTCCGCAGTACCCTCATCAACAACATCAACAACATCAACAACTACCACAACTACAGCCACGGCCACCGCATACGTTACAGACATCACAGACAGTCCCTCAGCGGAGATCCCCATCTCAACCCAATCCTCAGAAACAAGTACAACCTCCCTCTGATCCCCAGCCTCGGTCGCGCCCTCCGCCCCAAGTACACCTGCAAGTACAGCCCCCGTCGCAGCCGCAACCAAAGTCCGAACCCTCAAATCAAATACGTACAAAGGCACAGCCGTCACCTAAAGCAAAGTCGTCACCGCGTCCAGCAGCCAAGATGGTCGGGCGAAGACCTCCTGGGCGACCTCCCGCGAGCTCTAAGATTGAGGTTACAATACCCGTCACTTCCCAAATTCCTTATCAGGTCTACACGTGTGACTGGGAGAATTGCCAAGCGGAGCTGCACAATCTTGAAATGCTCAAGAAGCACATTTTCAAAGTTCACGTGCCTTACACGCTCACGTGTCAATGGAAAGACTGCACATTTCGAGAGAACCTACCGGCAGTGCAATTATACAAGCATGTCCTTTCAGAACATGTGACATCTATCGCATGGACGCTGGGCGACGGACCATCAGTGCCTGCAACTGGTGAGAAAGCACAGAGATGATTGAATTTATGTTTTTTTTTTTTGTTTCGTTGCTCAATGGGTTCGGTGGTTAACAATTTTCATCTTTACCTGCCATCTAGAGGGTCGCGTTGCCGGCGAAAGTCCCGTGCCTAAAACCATCCCGGAGTCTATTCAGCCAGGGGGCGAAGACTCCCTAATATTCCCTGCAAGCTACAGTTCGATTCGCGCATTCAACCGTGTCCATGGCAACCATACACAAATTGAGAAAGCCCGGGAGATCTTCAAGGCAGTACAGAGGCTGAAGGAACATATTGGGTATGGATTAGATCCCGGTGGATGCCAGTTGGCTACTCCCGCAAGGATTGGGAGAGTGAGCAACGATGAGGATGTCTATGCAGTGAGGCATGAGACTTAGCACATTTCAGGTCTAATGATACCCCTTCGATCTTGTGATTTATCCAGCTGTCGTTCGTATCGTGGTTACGGCAATTGGCGTCAAGGTCTTTTTTTCGCATCCAGCGGGCTCTTCGGCGTTTTGATTCTCACTGGGGTTGGTGCATCTTTCGAAGCTTAGTGGACATAGCATTATCCAAAGCCCCTGAACCATTTAAGAGGACATTCATTGTGACTGCAATGCTTGCATGGGTATTCTACAGACAATCCTGCCCGACTCTCAGAGTCACCTCCGTACAAACCAAACCTCCTTCATGCTGAAACGTGATCCCCAAGTATACAATAGCTACCGGTCCTTCCCACCTCCAATTGCTGATGTGCCCCCCGCGGCCGCGGCCGCGGCAGCCGGTGCCGGCGTTACACCGGCAGTAGTAGAACCTTCGACCGACTTCTTGACACCGGGGACTTCTCCTTCAACGGTATCGTCCTTCGCATTGACTTCGAGGAAATGGTAGAGTACTATCATCATCATAGCGCACGATCCAAGGAAGATGGCCAGACGGTAGAGATCGTCGTCGGAAATCATGTTGATGTAGTGGAGTATTCTTGTACGCGAAGTATCTGAAATGAACGCTAGCGTTGGAATGGACAGTCCAGGGGGGGTTGAGCTAAGTAGCAGTGCGACCGGTCGCAAAATGAAGCTGTTTGGGAGTTGTCCTAGGGAAATTAGTATTATTTGGGACATATTGTAAGGAACACGGTGTTTCCAAACGCTTACTGAATGAATTGACTTGTTCAACAATCAATACTCCCGCAGCACTAAACAAACAATGAATTGAGGACTCTGTTGAAGCGAAGATTGACTGCTGTAGATGAGTGGCAGGCAATGGTGGTATCGCAAGTTGACAGCTGGAATTACGGAAGTAGATTAATTGGATGTCGTACGTAGGCACTTCTGAGGTAAGCTCCCCTCCGGGCTGAGCCACCACTTTAAGTCTTGAGACTCTCAATTGACCCGTCGACCTATCAGCCTGGCTTCCTTCTAGTCTAGACTAACTGTCTTCATCGTCCTTCAAATAACCCACTTCCAACCGTTTATCTATCACTTTTCTCCAACCGATACCTCTTGCTTCTGGACTATATAGGTGTAGATGGTGGTCCGCACTTCTCCTACCTGCCTGTGTATCTCCCCAACCCTATCAAATGCTTCCCACGGCTCAGTTGAGCTAATTGAATCTTGGTTACCATCTCGTTTCATCGCTCATCCCTCATCCTCTTAATCCCCTCTTTTCCTCCAATCTCAAACTACGTGTCTGGTCGTTTTGATATATGTTGGTCAATTGATAAGCTGCGTGGCGGTTCATCATGAACGGACCATTTATTCCAACCAAGAACCCTTCTCAGCCCAAGGGCTCTGGTCCTTCTCTCCTGGCTTGTCTTCTCTGTCGCCATAAGCATCTTAAATGTGACGGGGTGACCCCTGTCTGTGGCCGCTGCGCAGCCACAGGGGCAGAGTGCCAGTACACTCCTTCTCGTCGTGGGTACAAAGGACCCTCCAAGAAACGGCGCGCCAACCCGTCGTCTCCCGAACGGACACCCTCTTCTGATCAATCGTCTTCGTTCGACTTCCAGTCGGTCGCACTACTGGATACTTCCCAGGATTGGACCGTTCCGGACGGACTTTCTTACATTTTCCCAAACGGCTTCGCCTCTTCAGACTCGAATAACTCCATTCTCAACAACGAGAAGGCACTAGTGTCGGACTCTGCGCCGGTCAGCAACGGTTGCCCTCTCACTCCCGATTCGGTGAATTCCGTCGCTGGTGATGGGTATCTCATTGATATTTACTATACGTACTTTCACCCTTCGCATCCGATCCTTCCTCCGCTTCGTATACTCTATCGCTCTCATGTGCCGCCATTTCTCGAGCATGTTATCAAGTTCATCGGTTCCCACTTTACCCCCGCCGCAAATAGTGAGGTATATAGACCCTCCGTGATGTCGTCAGCGATGGAGCAAGATAGCTCCGTGGAGAAGCTGCAGGCACTTCTGCTGCTGGCTGTTGTGTTGCATTCGCGAAACGAGCGGGCAGAAGCCGGGCAATGCCTCGCTACGGCCGTCGACCTGGCCTTCGAACTCGGACTTCATCGTCAGGATTTTGCCATCTCCATGGGCGGAGGTGATCCGATACGGGAAGAAAGTCTGCGACGCACTTGGTGGGAACTGTTCATAGTAGAAGGCATGTTAACTGCCCTGGGTGTCCAGCGTACCTTCCGCACCAGCCTAGTACCACTCGAGGTCGGCCTTCCATGCGAGGAACGCATCTTCCAGGATGGATTGGCCGCTCCACCGCCTCCTACCATTGCTCAATTTGATGACCACATTTTTGCCGACGAGGAGCGAGATTTTTCCTCCTACACCTATCGGATCGAAGCTGTTCGTATTCTCGGGCGGGTGGTTACCATTCAGGACATGCTTGAGGGTCAAGAAGACCATGTGGAGGCGATCGACGCGCGTATCAACAGCTTTTTCCACCATCTTCCCGAATCGAAAGCTGAACTAATGCGTCCAGATGGGTCGGTGGACGAGATGATGTTCCAGGCGAAAATGATCGCGAACGGAGCGAGTGTCTACCTCAACTTCCCACGATCCGACCTACTATCGTCACCTGCGGTTGCTGCTGAAGTCATCTGCGGACATCATGGTCCCTGCAGCATCCCGGCCTTCACACACAATGATCATGCCATGAAAGCTCTCAAGGCAGCCAAGGACATCTCCCAGTTAGCCTCCATCCGATTACCAGTCGTCAAACATACACCCTTCTTCATCTGCGCGCTGGTTCTCAGCTCCATCGTGCAGTTAGCATCCTGCTCCGTCAAAGCCGGGAGGATGCCTGAACCCAGCCGGGAACGACTGAGTCTCACCATCGGTGTCTTCAAGACTCTGGCGCGTACGTGGGCGATCTCTCAGGCGATAATGCGACAGGTCAAGGCTGTGGCGCGCGACGTGTTGGATGTTGGACTGCGGCCCGCCGCGGAGCCCCTGCAAGTGGATTTGACGACTGTCCTTGACGGTGGCCGGTTCTGGTTGCCAGAGGCACTCCCCAGCTGAATAGCTGTGCCGCCCTTGCCTTCCAACCTGATTGATGCCCGATATGATTCTACGCAGTCTTCCTTAAAATCTGCCTTGATACCCACAACTATGATTGAAGTCATATCCGAGAAAGCACATGATTTACGCCGAGAGCTACTGGTCCACTTGATGATCAGCCGGATGGACATTGGGTGCGGCCGAGGGAACACCTTACAAATCCCATGTATTCTCAGCAAGATCTGTCGTTGCTTCTGACAATGTAGGCCAGAATCTCAATCAAAATGTCTATCCCTCATGAATTTATGGAGATAGCAAAATGAAGTCACCAGGTCAGCGTCTAGCATTACATGTCGCTTCTTGGGCGTATTACATGAGCGATAAACCTATATCTGATATATACGGAGTATGCTTTTATCCTTTATCCTTCAACTGTCACAGTTTCGGATCAAACATATTCCACTAAAGCAATCTGCCAGAATGAAGTAAGAATTCAAAGCCGAATCAGCAAAGCCAAATTGAATTGGGTATCTCAATTGATGAAGATGATAAAGCTAATGTCTTTTGCTGGCTTGCTCGCTGGTCTCTCTGCCAATAGACGCATGATTTGTGCCTGGGTTCAAGAAAAGGAATGTATGAGAAACGAGGCCGACCCAATTGAAACCCGCCGTAACTCCCCAGTCTAGATGATCGTGTACACTCATCAAGTCTATTTTCTTCAGAACAGAAATAAAGGAATGAAGAAAGGAAAAGAAAAACAGTGCGGTTTCTAAGGAACGGAATGGTATCATAGTGGAAGCAGTAACACTGTATGGATAGGGGGGAAAGAAAGTGACGTCAAGAGACTGTGATAGCTGGTCATGCGGGATTGGCTTCAGCGTCCGCTGACTGAGTCGGTCCGCCGAGTTCCCTCATTTCTCGCAGGGCCTCTGCCCGTCGAGCGACGACGTCTTCGCGGCGGACGACGTTCCGGAGGGCCTCGCTGGCCTGGATGAGCCCGTCGATGCTGATGGCGTGGTTAGTCATTTGGTGGTTGATGTAGGTGTATAGTCCTGCCGGGGTGGAGCAGGTGGTCAAGAGCTGCTGCTCGTTGAGTTTCAGGAGGGCGAGAGCGACCTGGAAAAGGAAAGTGCTGCCGCCGCCGCTTCCCGATGCGATGTCTTGGGCAGAAGGATTGGTTGCATCGTTGGTCTCCCGGGTTGAAGAGTTGGAGCCACTTCCAGGTCCGGGAGTAACGACGCTGGTGACGTTGAGACAGAGCACCACATCCCAGACGCGGTAGAGTGCTTCGGCGGACAAGCAGTCGGTGAAGACGGAGAGGAACCATTGGAATGTTAGAGCTTCGAGCTCGACACCCAGCGAGTCAAGGTGTGCGGCTAGTTTGGGTAGCACCTCGGAGATGTACTGCCGCAGGACTACCTGATCGGCTCGCGACGCAAGTAATCCATGATCGTAATAATGCTGAGGGAGGATGTTTTCGATCATCGAGGCGAGAATCCAGAAAGCATCTTCTGCGGTCGGGGTGATGAGAAGCAGCGAAGCGGCAATCAGGTTCATCCCTTGGCAGTATCCCACCTCCGGGTTGCGGCGTGAGTATGCCAGTAGCACCTCTCTCAGTTTAGAGACGCCGGGACCTTTGCGGAAGAACACGTTGTCGGTCAGCGTCCGGTTGATATCCATGTCAATTTGCGCCACCACTGACGGGTCCGGTTCACTGCCGCCGATACCTGCCACCAGATCATCATAGTAACCAGGCACTCGCATGGATGATGCGCCGCTACATTCGGACCAAATCTTCGCCCGCAGAGCAACGGGGATCCCGCCAAGAACGAGCGATCGGAACTCCCGCCACTTTGCACGGCCAACCTTGCCTTTGTTCCCCAGATTAGCTATTCCTACTACTTCGCCGACTGCTAGAGATGCTTCTGGTGTATCGACGGACTGCGCAGCTCGAGTAGAAGCCGCAGCAGCAGCAGCTTCTCCCTCCTTCCTGCGTTCTGCGCGCACCTTGCGCATGAACTCGTTCCATCTGACGGTCCTGTCCCGCTGGAGGGTATCGTGGAGCTCTGTCAATTGCTCAAGAAGCAACTTGACTGGTTCATTCTCTGTGGACGCACTCGGCGCGGCTGCAGTCGTGGGCTCATCGGCGGATGTTCCCGCAAATTCTGGACGATCAGCGACGACCGTGGATGTAGATGCAGATGGCGGAGCATTTGGATTGACGGAAAGCGAGCCATGTCGGTCAACCGCTACTGCAGTACTACGCGGCGGAGGTTCGCTTGCGGTGGTAAGTGACACAATAGGGCCGGCTGATGGGGTGTGAGACAGTAACTCCGTTGGCCGAGTTGGGAACTTTAGATAATCCTGCCATTTTCGTATAGCCACAGCTCCAGCTTCTGGGTCCTCGGGTGAAACCGAGCAGGGTGAGCGCTGAGGCTCCGCAGCTCCTTGCAACGTGTTTTGAAAGTCGGCATCGTCATCTCCATCTGATGTTTCGGTGCGGAAGCTGCTGAGTGTTTCAGCGATGCTCAGACGATTGCTGTTATTCTTGGACATAGCAGCTTCTCTCTGCCTCTTTTTCCGACGCTGGTCGTAGATGAATCCAAACCGATCGGTGAGTAGCTCGCCAGCCTGATAGTTGTTATACATATAAGAAAGGGTTGGAGGTCGAGATTCCATGGGAAGAATGGCATCCATTTCGACTGGCCCCAGATTAGTGGAGCTCTTGTCGCCTGCCTCGGAGCTTGCGGCTTGAGATACGCTTGAGGCTGCATGCCGTCGACCAGAAGGAGCCGTTGATCTGCCAATCCCAGTGGACCCATTGGTAGATCTGCCAGGCGCACTGTGTATGCTCGTGTTGCTGTTGATCCGTTTCAAGGCTGCGACCGCTGACAGTGTCGTTTTGGGATTTGCGGACGTGGACGAGGAGCCTCTAGTCTTATCCTGATGGACGGAGGACGCTCTGCTGCGGATGGATCCCGCGTCATTCTCATCTCGACTATTCTGAGAGCCTCCAGCAAACAGTCTGACCGTCCACGACGATATTGATTTTGACGATTTGCGGGAATGAGTGCTAGCATCGTCTCCACTGACCACTCCCGCAACTGCACGTTTTGCAGCTATGCCACCCCCAGTACGTTCGCCGGGAGGTTGAAAGAGCTGCTCATCGAGCGCTTTCCGGCGATTATTGTTTGAAACACGCCGATGGTGGGCGTCCTCCTCGACCTCCCCAACATCGTCCATGATACTGCTCGCTCTGCTAGTTTTCCGACTGGCGGTACCACTGCCGAAGATGTAATCCTGCCAACCGCGAACAGAGCTCTGTCTCTTTCTGGTAGTCCCTGAATCGACACTCGACGTGCCTGAGCGCGAGTCACTCTCCGAGCGCTGCGGCCCACGAACAGTCGCTTGGACTTGATCTGAAGAGTGCACCGAGTCGTCCTCATGTAGCTGTGACCCCACCCCGTCACTCATCGCCTGCTGCATGAGCCCATGAACTCCTCGCCCCCGATTACCTGCCGGCTCCGCATCGTGTTCAGCGTCCTCACCGTCCGAATCCTTGCGCGGAGAATTCTCCAGAGCATACAGTCTTCGCTCAATATCCTGGTTGGAGACGGAAACCTCACGGAGCATCCTCTTCAATTCCCGCTCCCTAGCATCCGCTCGCTGACGCAGCGCCGAAATCTCTGCATCCCGCTGCGCCAGGTCGCGGGCGAACTGCCTGACCAGCTTCACTGCGCCCATACTGGCTATTAACCGTTCGATACTCGAGTCATCCGCTAAATGCAGCGCACCGGGGAAGTCATGCATGGTGAATGAATCGTCAAACAAGGAGGCACGGCCAAAGTTCGCGGGGACCGCCCCGGTCAACTTGGCTAGGGTGGACCGTCGGTCACGAGCGACATCGCCGGAACCTTCTTCCGCGTCCTCGTCCAGCAATGCGTTCGTCAAGGCGCGGTTCAGCGCGGGCTGGCCGACGAAGCCGTCGGGTGAGCGATCCGGCGAGAGGGAGGGGAAGGAGGTGAGGTCGGTGGTGGTGGCATTGGAGGAGGCAGAATGGCGTTTCTGAGACCGAGCACGAACGGTCTTAGCTCTTTGGCTGTGCCGCGAGGTGGACGAGGTTCGCGAAGAGGAACGACGCAGTAGCTGCTGGATATCGCGCTCCGCCATGGTTCGTGGGGCGCTGAAATGAGCAAACGGAGAAGGAGGTTTCAAGTATAGGCTTCATGAATGCTTGATTTATATTCTCTTCCTGCGCAAGAGCGCCGATGTAGTATGACGGGAGCTTGCAGGCATCAAAGGATCCTCGAAGTCCTCGCGTGGACCTTTCTTTAGACTTTGCCCTCCCCACGTGTGGTCCGATGCTTTTTTTTTCGGGGTTAGTAGATCGTTTTTGACGAAGCCAGGAGGGACGGTAAGCTCATTCCGGCAGACCAGCACAACACGACACGCCAGACCGAATACCAGAATTATCCAGATGGCAAAAACAGGAGACAGACAGCAAAACTCTCACAATCACACAGAGAGTTCATAAAAAGGTAAACGGGAAAAACCAGTTCTGGTCCATTGTTTCACGCGTTCTTGGTGGCCGCATGGGCCATGACGTGTAAGAGGTCATGTGACTTACCCCAGCCCACTGCATAGTTCGTTTATACTCCTTGATGAGTCATCTATGCCACTTGTGCATTCTGGGGAGACCTGCCTCGGCTCTCCGCATGAGCAGCCGAACATTCAGCTAGAGATCACCCGAAACAGCGCATCGACGTGGATTTAAAATGACGGTCTATCTAGCGACTACTCCGCAATATCTCCAATCCTGTAGCTCCTCTTCTCATACGGATCTTCCAACCTGACACCTAATCGCATAGCACCATTCTATCTATCTCTTTGCACTATGTCCGGAGTAGCCAAACGCCGCCTCCAAGCTGTCAGCCAGCAGTTGGTCGAGGGTATCCCCGATGCAGGCAAATTCGAGGATATCCCCAGAATCCGCACGGTTGCGCCTGACTCTGTTGGACCGTAAGAGCCATTACCTGTCTGCAACATATTCAATCCATACTAACAGCCTCCAGCCGCGTCAAAGATAAAGTCGTCATTGTAACAGGTAAACCAGAACTACTGCACATCCCCTCCACCAATTCCCCCTTGGGGTAAAGAAGAGTATTAACGAGACGCAGGCGCCAACTCCCCCGCCGGCATCGGCCGCGCCAGCGCCCACCAATACGCCCACAACGGCGCAAAAGCCGTCTACCTGTGCGACTTCACAGACACGCACTTGGGAACGCACAAGCGCGAGATCGAGTCCCTGTATCCCGGTGTGGAGGTGCAGATCCGCGTGTTTGACGCGGCGGAGGAAGACGCCGTCAAGGCGGTCGTGGACGATGCGATTGCGAGGTATGGCCGGTTGGACATTTTCTTCGCGAATGCGGGGATCGTAGG